GCTGAGGAGAAGTGACACATCTGAGAAGTGACACATCTGAGAAGTGACTTGGCTGAGGAAAAGTGACAAGGCTGAGGAAAGGTGACATGTCTAAGGAGTATGAAATATCTGGGAAGAGCTGCCAGAGTTTTAATGAAAGAAAAAATAAAAATACTGATTTCAGAAGAAGACTAGGCTGAAACTAGCCAATACAATTAACTAAAGAGGATTAGATGAAATGGTCAGCCATCTGATGAGAATACCCTGGTACTAACTAGCACACTGAAGAAATATAATGAACACAGAACAAGGGGGAAGAGTGCAAACTATGGAACAATAGCATCAAAGGAAATAAAGACTAACTGTCTTAATTCATTAACAAGAATACTCAGAGAATCCTTACATCTTCCAGCAACACAAAGAGCATGAGAAAGAGAAGAAGAAAAAAGATCAAGTCCATTGAGAATACACATAAACAGGTACTAAACTTAAAAAGGAAAAAATACACACATAAAATTATTCCTTCTTTACTAACAAAAATGATAATAAAATAACTATTCATCATAATATAACAGATCCACTGCAGAACATTACAGGCTGCCAGAAAGCCTCTCTATTCCTCATCAACTCTCTAACACTCATGTTTTTTCCTGCCCACTGCCTCTCTAATATCCTGTGTTCACTCATACGCTTGACAACACATCCTTCTTTTTCCATAAACTGTGCTTTCTATCGCTGTTCTTTTTAACCACTGATTTTTCTTCTTCTTAGCATTTACTGGCTGTAAACTGCAGCAGAAAACTTCAGGACTTTGGTCATGTTCCACAACTTCAGTATAAAGTAGGCCTTCTATTGCTGTTCTTTATAACCACTGATTTTTCTCCTTCTTTGCATTTGCTGGCTGTAAACTGCAGCAGAAAACTTCAGGACTTTGGTCTTGTTCCACAACTTCAGTATAAAGTAGGCCTTCTATTGCTGTTCTTTATAACCACTGATTTTTCTCCTTCTTTGCATTTGCTGGCTGTAAACTGCAGCAGAAAACTTCTGGACTTTGGTCTTGTTCCACAACTTGAGTTTTGTGTGCATATCCATTTTCCACATCTGGTTTATCAGTATGCAAACTGTTGGTTTCTTGCCTCTCAGGCAAATACACTCTTATCCTTAAAGGAAGTACCTCTAATAATACTCCTTTTACGACATGCCAGTAGGGGCACTGGGTCTGTCCCCTCCAATGAGGCCCTGGAACCCAAATGGGGAACTGTATCAAAGAATTTCAAACATGAAAATTTAGTATATAAAAATGGACTAATTAGGTTTAATTAACATCAACATTGAGAAAATCTAGAAGAAAGTCTCCCCTTCTACATCAACATGCGCAGTAATAACCAATGTTTTATATCAAATAAAGTATACAAACAAGCTGTTAAGAAAATTAATATTTCCAGCATTTGAGAATAAAATAGAAAATGCAATGTTATTTTTAAAAAATAAAGAGGACTATACAAATAAGAAAGCACACTACAAATGAAAGGCTGCTTTATACTTATACAGAATATGGTAAATCGTGTTGGTAAAAGGGCAATTTTCACACCTGGCATCAAGTTTTTATGGTATTTGACACATACTGTTGCAGACTAACTGGCACTCAACAAGTGATGTGGTCACCATTTACTTTCCAGTACTCAATTTAGGCTGGGTGGCACTGCAAGCTAAGACAGATAGATACAAATCCAACTCAATGCAGATTCTAACTCAAGACAGCCCGGCTGGCAAGTCAGTGTCAAGCCACCATACTTCTGTGGCTCCCAACTGGTGCTGATAAGGAAGTATGACTTTTAGTTGCCCCTGTCTAACTATGGTCTAACTTAGGTCTAACTGTGATCCTGTTAGAAATCTCAAATTTTTTTTAAATTTTTTTCTTGTTGAATTAAAAGACAGAGGACTGGCGCATCGGGCTTATGACGCTAGACTCATATTTTCATAAACCAATCAATGTTTGGTGGGTGGTGCGGTCATTGTCATGACAGCCCCTTGACTTCCCAGAACTTTACCTGGTTCACATTTTAGGCTGGGGAGTCAAGTTTCTTTTAAATGCCCGTTCATAATATTTGGGCGACTAGCAAACAGTAACTGATTCAGTGCCGATCAACTCACTATTCATTTACTGACCACTCCTTACATGATATACTTTTCAACTGTTTCCTTAAACAGCTGTTTCACTAACCAATTCTATCAGTTTTTACTTTACCTCTTTCTGACACATGGTGTTGTATTTTAATCCCTCCTCCTTCAAATTTGGAGTACATCTAAAGGCAATGCACACAAATAAATCAAATCTGTAAAATGGAAGTGCATACAACACAAAGCTAAAGAACACAAATGGACAAACAACTAAGACTTTCCAGCAGAGTTTAGCTGGTAATTGCTAACAATAATGCCCGTAAATCTAAACAGTCATTACCTTTTACACTAACTGCCTAAACACAAATAGTTAGAGAAACATTTGTTCTGTGTTATGGTATCAGTTAATATTAAAACTAAACCTTTTCGCCCCAGTAACACTCCTTAAAAAAAAAAATTTAAAAAAAAATAAACTAAAGGTCAAAAACCCTGTTAGAATTCTAGAAAGAAAAATAAAAAATACTTTTAAAAAATCGTTTACACAGGTCACTAATAAATTCCTAAAAAATGTATTTATCTGCATTGTAAATGTTTTTTTTTTAAAATACATAATGATAAATGAAAAGAGTAATCAATAAACACAAACAAGGTGAAGCATTAAATGGAATACAGGTCTAAAACAAACATATATATATTTTTTAAATTAAAAAACAATTAAAGGGGCTAATGTGTTAATCAACTGGGATTTCCTAATTTTCCCCGCAGTCTCAGTGACAGAGGTCATGACATGAGTCACCTGATACATTTTCTTTAAAGCTCAAGGGACTGTATTCTATTTAATGTTTTACTCTGCTAATTTTTTTTTTAATTTCTTTTATAAATCTTCAAATATTTCAGGAAAAACAATTTCTTACTGGCCTGTGTCAATTTGTTGTTATCTTAAAGAATTAATTTTGAGAATTTTAAGGGGTTCATGACCCATTTTTTTTAAGGGCAACAGGGTTGAAAGTGAAATTTCAGGCGATGATAAAATATATTTCAAAACAGAAAATCCCAAAAGTAGACTGGCATTTTTAGCATCTTAAATTATGCAGCAGAATTAATGTTATATGGGAATATGAATGTGACATTTAAAAAAAATAGTAGTAATCAAGATATTTATTTATGTAAAAATAATCTAAGACATATCAGTTATAATGATGGACATAAGCAATACACATAAGAAAAGTATCAGCTCATAATGAGAAGCTAATCTGTTACATTATCTATCCAGGCAATTAATGCTACTTCAATGATACAAACACCTGGGGGTCTCCGTGGTGAAGCGGTCAAGATGTTTGCATCGTGGCAAGGTTATGGGTTGGTTTCCCAGCGGCATTCCATTCACGAGTGCAATTTTTACAGAGATCCCTGGGAATCATCGCTGTAGCTCGGCAGGCAGCTTGCTGTTCTACCGAGAGAGACTGAGCCATATAGGATTAAAGCTGGTACAATGAAGCTGATGCTCCCACCTTTAACTTTACAAACACATGTTGCAGATCCTTTACTGTCAAGTCATCTAATAATTTTATAATATGGGTTCTGGGAAACACTGTAGAGGGGGGTGGGGGGTGGGGGGGGGGGGTTAAACCTCCTGATTCCCTACCAAGCATGTCACAGGAAGTGACTTATTAGGACTGGTTCAGTCTGAGTCTATTTACCTGATAAGTGAGGACCAACAATCTGCATACAAATGAGCCAGATCTGTAAAACAAATGTGCACACAAAACTCAAGTTCTGGAACAAGACCACGGTCCAGAAGTGGATAAAAAGCCAGAACCTTTTGCCAGAGTTTACAGCCGGTGAATGCTAAGAAGAAGAAGACTCTAAAAACTGTCTAAACTGTTTATTTCTTCTTCACAGAAAAACATGAAATGTGTGATACAAATGTTAATCAAAAAGTCTAACAGAAGTGCACTTTACAGAAGAGGGGACAAACAATTTGGTCTCAATATGGAAAGATACAGGAAAGGAAGAATACTTGTATTATGGCAGGGAAAGATGTTGAAACTGTTAATACTTGTAGATGTTGAAAAGCAGAACCAGTTTCCAACTCCCCATAAACACACAAAATCTCACAATCATGATTAACAAGATTAATATTACAGCATGGAAAATGATATAACCTTATAAAAATTACATAAAATGACTTAGTAGTTGTTTAAAGCCTGAAGTCAATACCTGGTCAAACAAATCAATTCACACTGGAATAAAAGGACTTGCTAATGCATGCATGTCCTCACTGGACATAAAGAACTGGTAAACATACTTTTATTGGAGATATATTATTATAACTCACACACAAGCTCTCCTCATTTTTCATCCGGGCTTGGGACCGGCAATGGTTTTTATTGGAGATATATAATTATACTTTACGCACAAGCCCTCCACCTCTTTCATCTGGGCTTGGGACCGGCAATGATTTTTATTGGAGATATATAATTATAGCTAAAGCACAAGCCCTTCTCCTTTTTCATCCGGGCTTGGGACTGGCAATGACTTTTATCAGCATATAATTATACCTTACGCACAAGCCCTCCTCCTTTTTCATAAAACTTCAGATTAGTAGGCAATTTTGGAATTAGCATTTAACAAGTGAAGTAGCAAAACAGAAGCATGCCACAGTTAATGTATATTAGTCCTCACAATTGCAGTAGGATGAAAAATGTAAGCAAACAAAAATCCCACTGTTTCATTAATACAAAATCTGCATGAAGATAAACGTACACAAACAACTAATTATTTCACAAAGAACAGATGAACAATGTGTTGCAAGTCATTAGCATTTGAAAGCGTAACACACAAGGTGGCGACTCAACTATATTATAGTCACTGTTAAGACATCTTTCAGGATTTAGTATCTAAGATCCTGCTTCCTGCTCTTGTCCCAGTCCTTCTAGAATCAGACCCATTGGCGTTCGTTTCAATCCCACATACTCCATCTTGTTGGCCAGCTTGTTTCTTAAGTTACGTAAGCGCAATGAGGCATGTATGAGTATTACTGAAAAAAAAAAAAAGATTGTATGTCTTGATACAAGTTACACATTGTTTTACATTTTACTGTTATTACTGGCAAATATAAGAAAAGTAAAAAAAAAGAAAAAAACAATTTAGAAAAAAAAACACTGCAGAAGTAGGATGGCATACTGGGTGACAATTTTGTGAAAGCTAACATTTTAGTAATTACGCAGTACAAGAGTTGTAACACCGTGAGTACTGTCTGAGATGTAGCGGTGAACCACACATGGTGGTGCACCAGCACCAAGACGTGTCTACACTTCTCCGTGCTCAATCCTAGAAAGATGCTCCTAACTGGGAATACATAAACATATGCTGTTCCAAAAAATGAACAAACAAACCAATTATCTGATGGCGCCTTCCCGTTCAACCAAAAATTATCCTATGGTCCAGTTTTATTAGTTGAAGCCCATATGCCTGAAAGTTATCGATGACCCTGATGCAAAAAAAAAAAAGTCAACTGATTGGTCAAACCCTGTTATCCTTATGTGCAGTCTGAATAATTTCCCTCATTAAATTACAAAGATTCTGAATGTCAAGATTAAGACAAAATTAAGTTTCTTTCAGTAGCTTTTTTTTTTAAGCAGTAAAACGCTATCAGATAACTATGTGTTTCTGTTTTTTAATTTAACAATATAGATAGGATCAATGTTTCATTCAAAGTCAGAGTGCATTTGCTTCAGAGGCAAGAAACCAACAGTCTAGACACAAATAAGGCAGATCTGTAAAACAAATGTGCATGCAACTCAAGTGCTGGAGCAAAACCACTGTTCAAAAGTTTACCCCCCCCCCCCCCCCCCCCCCCCCCCCCCCCCAAAAAAAAAGGATTTTTTTGCTGAGTAACAGTTAGTGCAAAAATTAGAAGAAAAGTACTTCCTCATCTAAATCAATAGTACAGTTGTCCTCAAACTGAGTTGAAGAAAAAAAAAGTCCTTGTCGTTTTGTTAATAGATGGTTTGAAAAATATTTTATCTACAATTATTTGTTTAATAAATGGATGAAAAATTTTTTTTTAATTTATAATTAAACTGAAACAAAATGTAAGTATAACAGATTATTAATATTGCAAGTACAAACGCAAATGCACTCATTTTCAAAATTGCCTGACACCCCCTTGGAACTTTCTCATGCCCCCATTCCCCCACCTCCCAGCTTGGAGACCACTGCTTCAGTGCATGTGCAGAGCATGTCTGTAGCATATGTTCAGTATTTTGTGGTGCCTGTCCACACGGGCTAAGTTCTAAATCCCCAGTCTCAAACTACTTACACATATGGCTAGTCTGTTGAATCAGTATGCAATCTACAATCTAAGCAGAAGCACTAAGAGAAGCAAAGAATAGTAACTGTAACCTATCATGCATGATGTATGCAAGAGGGTTGGCGTCAGACCGGCTACCTTTACCCCCAAAAAACTTAAGCTTTAAAATTCAATCAGCCATGAAAAATCTACACAGGATTCAAACTTTCACAAAGGAACTAGGATGAGGGTGTATACTCCTTTAGCAGTTGAATGGTAAAAGATGAAGAAACTGAAGAAGTTTATTGTTTTTATTTTCCACATTTAAATTTATAATCTTCTCTCTTGTCTGTCTTGAATGCAAACTATATTACAATTCTAGTTGTTGTTCCTACTTTTGTACATATACACATTTTTCAAATAGTTATTCCTACAAATTTATCTCATGTATGTAGTCATTATGCAAGATAAATTAAATATACTTGATCGTTTTTTGATATATACTTAATTAAATATTTTTGATGCAGGTCTGAAAATCCACAAGGGAAAGACAAAGACAACGAGAATTAATCAAGCAAATAGTAATGTGGTTTATTTTAACGGTATCCCGCTCCGAGACGTGGAGTGGTACGCGTATTTGGGCAGTAATGTAGATAAAGATTGGGGAACTGATAGAGATATTAAAACAACAGACAGCATTTATACTTGCAATGACTATTCTCAATGATCACATAGGAAAAGACTGATTCTAATCTAAGTACTTACATAACAATGGAAAAGCGATTCCAAACATAAATACGAGCACAGCTCCAAACATGTATACCACAAAGTACCCAGCTGCTACAATGGCCGCCACACAGAAGACTGGGTGATCATGCTTGAAGCGTCGAGCCTTGTACTGGTTGTTGGTGAAGTACACAAAAAGTGCAAAACATAGAGCAAGAGCACTGAATCCCAGCAGAATCTGCACTGGGTGAATAATTCTATGGAATACAAAAATATGAGAGGAAGTCAATAAGTAAGTCACTAACGGTTATGGGATGGCAGAAAAATGTAGCTGGTTGTTTCTAAAGGTCTCTATAGGTGACAGCAACATCAAACATCATGTCTCTGTTAATTAGGTGGCGCTAGGTGTTGCATGCATACTCGCAACACAGAAATAAAATGGCGGCTGCACTTAGAGTGTACCCTCAAAGAACAACATGCTGTTGGGTGTTTTTTTTTTTAAGACAAAAGGGCTGCCTGCAAAGGATATTCATAACGAAATGTTTTCTGTTTGTGCTGACAAATGTTTATCCTGTAAAGCGGTGCACTGAAAACCCACCTTGGGGGCAGACATTTGGCGAATGATGCAGAAGTGAATGATAAGTTAAAATGTGGTTTAGAAAACACAGCATGCAGTTCTATGCAGCAGGTTTTGGAGGACTCATAAAACGATGGAACAAGTGCATCAATGGTGGTGGAAATTATGTTGAAAAATAAAGGGACAGTGCATGTGTAAAAATAAACGTCTTCAAATTGTTATCGTCTTTAGTGGTTTTTTTTTTAAAAACAACCATTTGTGACTTACTTATTGACTTCCTCTTGTATGTGCAGACAATTTCATTGTAGTGAAACTGGAAGTGAGACACAGATTCAAACCCTAGGTAGTATTCTAGGTTTCTTCTGTTGGGTGGGGGGGGGGGGGGGGGGGGATACAATCCTAACCTGCATAGTCTGGGGTGACAGCACTAGCCATGCAACCCTAAATCCTCCGGCTCAAAGACCACCCAGCATACACAGCAAAAAGTGGTAAATACAGTAAGTTTTAGCGGAAACTGACAGCTTTTAATATGAGATGATCTTTCTCTTATGTGATTTAGATAATGTCTACGATTAACACTAGCAGTAGAGGACTATCAGTAGTGTTGGTTTGAACAAAAATATTTAAAAAAAGTAAAGAACCCTTTTGACACCTTTAGCACAGCAGACATATAGTGCTAGACCTACATTTGGACGGACCAATCAGCGCTCTACAAGTAATGTAACATCATCATGCCAGCCGCCTTTACTGCCCTTGTACCCAATTCAGGCTGGGTTGAACTGGATATGGAGAAAGCAGTCAGGAGTCTTGATAATCAAGTTACCTTTTTTCAGCTAGGAAATTCTCCAGAACTGACACATGGATTGTTAGAAATATGTAATAATTAGGGGTCTCTAAGGTGAAGAACCAATATTTAGCACTACAGCCATTTCCATAAGCACCCCATCCCCATCTTTAACAGCCAACAGAAAGTCCCAATACTAATGGTGCCTGCTGAGGTCTAATTAAACATTCATTGTGTCTTTCTTCAAATCTTTTGTTTTTCACATTAGATAATTACATGTCCTCACTTAGCAATGAGGGCTGTTGAAAGATATCAAAGAGCAAAGTGAAATATTTCAGTCACATTAAAATACATAAAATAAATACATAGTGGAGAGAAAAGTTGTAGAAAGGTGAGAGATAGATACTGATACAAGTGGGAGGATAACATTCAGAAATAGACGAGCAGTCCGAAAGAGTTACACCAAAGCCAGAGACACAGTGGGTTTGAGGGCCATTGCATACAATAGCTTGTTGTGGAGAGGGCATCTGAGTAAGTTAGCATTTATGATAAAGCTGCTAGAGTGAGTTTCAGTGGATTCACTGGATGCCATTTGTCAGATCTATACTCTCTTCCCCAGCAATGCTAGTTTATGTTGTTTTAACTGAAAACATTTACTAAACTGTCCAAATGCCCGGCTCTCTAGCATAGTTGACTAAACTGGATTGCACGGAGACTGGGTGAGGAACTCTTGTGGTCTGGGTTCAATCCCGGGGGTAGGCAGGAAAGCCACATTTTCTCAAAGATTTGCGGTATTTGCAATGAAATCAAGACCGAAAGATTGCGATATCCATAATACCGAGCCTAAGGGTTGACAACTCATGGCTTCTGGATACTAAAACAAACAAACAAACTGTCCAAATTTAAAGAAATTATGTTTCTCTAAATAATATCAAAATAACACAATAATTAAACTAGATAACAATGTACTGGGTGTAAATGAGCCCTTTCAAAAGTAAGCAACCATTTCTATTGTCTTTTTCTTCTTCTTCGAGTTCACCAGCTGTAAACTCTGGCGGGAAGTTCTGGTTGTCCTCTTCTGGACTGCAGTCCTGTTCCAGAACTTGAGAGTTGCGTGTGCATCCATTTGACATTTCTGACTAATATGTATGCAGACTGTTGGTTCCTTGCCTCTCAAGCAGATGCACTTCGACTTTGAAGGAAGCTCACAATTAGTCGCCTCTTACGACATACTTTTGAGTAGGCAGTGGGTCTATTCTTGTTTTCCCTTTAACAAGGCCCCGGAACCCACACGGGGAGCTGGTTTATTGTATTATTCTATGGCGAAATAAAATATGTATATTATAAAACAATTATTCTTGTCTTTTAGACAGTGCCACACCCTCACTAGAACGATTACTAGCATTTATCCTTTTATTAAAAAAAAAAATGTGTATACATTCTGTAGTGTAGTAATGTTGTCTACTACTAGCAGTAGTCATGATTGAATTTATAAGAAAATACGCACCCAATTAACAGAAATATCAAGAGTGCAGTAAGGAAATAATTCGTTTGATAATACAGAAGATTATTTAAAACTCTATTGGACCACTTTTCTGGATCATTAATCTGAGGAGTCTGGAATCTAGCAGAATCCAAGAGAAAATCCCCCATACTACGCAGAGGTGCCAGCTCCATCTCTACCATTTTAGCCGACCGGAAGCAGTAACCTCAGCCTTTAGTTCGCTTGGTCACGTCGTCTGCTTTTTTATTCGGGAAAAAGAGGGGGGGGGGGGGAAACGGCGATCTACTTACTCGTGTCCAGAAATGCAACAACTAAATGCATCTGGGTTACGAGACCCACTTGGGTTGGAAAATAGGTTGGGGGTTAGACCCGCTACCCCTTGACAAGCATGTCGTAGAAACCTACTGTCATCGTGTTGACCAAAATGTGCAGATATCACAACCTAGCTGTCAACCACAAAACATTGAGCGATAAAAGGGAGAGGTTAGATTCGCTCAGCTGCAACCGAACGTTTCGATGGGCTTCTTTATACTAAAGGATTTATCCCTAAATGCAACTCCCCTGTCTTAAATGTTGAACACTATTTTGGATATAGGCTAGATGTGTTTGTTAAGAAATCAACCAGGTTTTGTTTTTGAAAAATGAAAATTCACAAAGGCCCTTTTTTAAACATTTCTTTCAATATCTTTTTTTTTTTTTGGTTCTCAATATCTCTAGAACGCATTATTTTTTTTTTTTAAATTTAGATCGACAAGGGAACATGTTACGACCACCGGAAATATATGTGGAAAGAGGGACAAAGGAAGACACAGCAAAAAGATTCTTACCCGCTTTTTATCTTCGCAAGGAGGGGCGTCAACACACGAACTGATACACGCAGTTGGGGAACGCATGTCGCTGAGAGGCACGACCAATTGGCAAGGCACTTGATGGTGGTGATTTATATGAAATAGGCCTACTACATATTCTTCTGTATATTTATTTCCTCGGGGTCGCAATTCCTTAAGCAACATTTAAGTGCAGGGCGTCGGAGACAGTGTGAATTGGGTTCCCCCTTAGCCCCTTTACAAATGTTCTAAGGGCTTGGGGACAGTGTTAGGAAATTTATAAACAAATGATTAAAGAAAACTTTACATTGGAGAGGGGCGGGGGAGAGTTGGGGAAAAAAAGGGGGTGGGGGAGCTTGGTGGCGTTATCATTTCTCAGCTTTCCATGCTATTTTTACGAGAATGAGGTGTTAGTTAGTGTCCTTAGTCCCCTCTCACACTTCTCCCCTTCCCCACAACCACGACTAAGCTCCATCGGCGCCCCTGGTCAAAGTTGTTTTGCAACTGCTCTTTACAAGAATAAGCCACAAATTTAAATGATACAATACATACTTTACTGTTGAGTCACAGAGTTCTGCTTTCCACTTCACTGATTTTATTGTATTATTTGAATGTGTGCGTGCGTGCGTGTGTGCGTTTATGTGTATGTGTGTGTTTCCACATTCAACGTATTTCAATGTGTGGGTATGATCATTTTTCGATAGGCAATTTTCCCCCTGTTATTGTTTTCCCCCATTATCTTGTTTGAATCATGTTTTTTTTTTTAACAACTAATCTTTCATCATGTTTTTTTTTTAAAACCTTTACTGAACGTCTATGTGGATGGTGTAGCTCCTTGTTTATATACAGTACGTCTGTAGTATATGTATTGCCGTGTGCACGTGCATCACTGTTGCGTTAAACACAATATGAAACATAATATTTACTATGGTATAACATTAACATACAAAGACAGCAAGTGAAATGGTTTGCCCACTTAGAGAGAATGCCTTGTGACACTATACCATACAAAGCATACATGGAAAGAGAAGAAGGACGTAGAGCACGGGGTAGACCAAGAACAAGATGGAAGGATAACATCAGGAAACTCTACAACAGCACGATGTGCCTATGGGCGAGGCAGCCAGAAGAGCTAGAAACAGAACCTTATATCTCCCTCGACACCCACAGCGGTAAAAGAGGAAGTGAAGAAGAAGAGAAGAAGAAGATAACATTAACATACACAAATCAGCAAATTTTTCCATTGAAAATTATGAGTCTTAACACGAATCTATGGACCCGTCAAAAATGCAAACATGGAGAGTGAGAAGTAATAACGAAATTCAAAATATGTTTAAATAACCACTGATCACTGGCATCATGAGAGCAAATGGACTGAAATCGTTGAGGTATATTGAAAGAATGTCAGATGACAGAGAAGTAAAACCATAGGCAAGGGAAATGAATGGTGGTAGACCACGAGGCAGACCAAGAAGAAGAGGAGAGATAATGTCCAGACAGACCTGCAAACACTTGGTGTCACCAACTGGAAAGAGAAGGCCAACCAGAGTGATGAATGAAGGCGTGTGATATCTGCATCAATGAACTTCAAGGGCTCGGAATGTTGAAGAAGAAGAAGAAGAAATTAAGCAATAGGAATTAAAGAAAGAAGAAAATGAAAAGAGTAGGAGGGGAAAGGTTCTCTTCTTAAAGCGACCAAAAAAAAAAAAAAAAATATAGCGTCATTTAAAAAAAAAACCAATAATCTATTTATAAAGCAAAACAAAAAATCCCTGACAATGAGACAAAACTAAAGATAATATACAAAAAAAAAAAAAAAAAAGACATGGACTTGTGAAAGAAAGGTCAAGTAAATAGTCTTTGTAACGAAGGAAGAGGTGACCTAACAGAGCCGTGAGATCGCGTTGTAACTCACTAGCTCGCTTGGGATTCCATGTCCCCATGTAGGACGAATTTTTCGTTATTTCGAAGCCTCACCCAGGCTATTGCCCGGGACCTTAAAATAACAAAACGGTTGAATGGATTTTCTGGGACCGCTCCACCGGTGAACCTCATCCAAATGGTGGCGCTGGGTTTTATCGCTCAGTGTTGTGTCCTAGTAAGGTAAAAAGTCACCCAATCACTTGCTTGGGACACAGTTCCTAAATAAATTCCTTTTTGTTTTCAATAACTGAGCTGTATTTGCAAATCTTGTCCGGGTTAGCCTTTTCCTGTTTCCAGTGTATACGTTTGAATAATGTGGACATAATATATTTCAAAATGTATGCCCCGGCATATTTATCTGTATCTCCTGACTATAGAGCTAATTACTGATTTGTATCTTTCCGTCTTTCCAGACGATATTGTTCTATTGCAGATAAGGAGGTTGGGACTCACAGCCCATGGCGAGTGTGACTAGTAAAACCCGCCCGCGTTAAGAATAGTCTTCCACAATGAAAGCAAGGGTATTTCGGGACCGTTGTTGTCAACATTTGTGTTTAGTCTTTTTCTCCTCAGACGCTCAGCTCTAATCATTTTTGCAATCATTACTTCATTCATTAAGGGGTATGAACCCCACCAAATTTTGTCTAGGCGGTGGGGAGGGCGTGGCTGATCCAAAATTTTCCTAACTGTGGGCGAGGGGTGTCCTGATTAGGTTGATGCGCCCCTCCCCCCGAGGTTTGTTCGCAACGGTATGCCTGGACTAGGTGGTTAGTTGCGTATCCTTTACAGGACGTTGCAGAACCAACCCTAATAGCCCCTGGCTGTTGTGTGGTTTTTCTAGGCAAATTTACGTCTAGTAGTTTGTCATTGCTTCTGGACGGTCGGCTTTCTTGATACCACTGTCGAAATCCTTGACTAGAGAGTAGTTTTAAGTGCTGTGTTTCTTGGCAAACACTCCCCCCTCCCCCCAACAAACCGCCCGCTTAGATTATGTGTGGAAGCCAGTTGTTGACATACGGTTAGATGCGATGTTCAAATGTTTTTCCTAATCTTCCCACCCTCACATTTCTCCACACTTAGTTCACAGTATAACATTATCTTTGGAAGATAGCTAGCTGCCTGACACGCGTTCTAGGTGACCAGTCAAGCAAATCTGGTATTTCTTCAGGCGATATCAAATAAATCCTTGGCTGATCTGCTCTTTCGAGAAACATAATTTTTAACTGTGTTCCACACATATTTAGATGTCACATGGCATGGTGTCACCTGATACAATCACGTGACATAAATTCACGTGACGTCTGGTGTTAGCGAAAAATGGCGACGATTAAGGAGCGATTGTTCATCACTCTCATTTTTGGTTTTCTATTACCGCACACAAAATGCTATGACCCAACCTGGAGCTCTCTCGATTCCAGGCCACTCCCCAGCTGGTACGATGAAGCCAAGCTAGGAATATTCATTCACTGGGGCGTGTTCTCTGTACCGAGTTTTTCTTCAGAATGGTTCTGGTGGAACTGGCAGGGACAGCCAACGCCCGCTGTAGCAGAATTCATGTCGGCAAATTACAGACCAGATTTTACATACGCCGACTTTGCCAAGGATTTCAAAACTGAATTTTTCGATGCAACACAATGGGCACAACTGTTCCAAAGTTCAGGCGCAAAGTATGATAGTGTATTTAATTTAAAGATTTAGCTTCCATTCAACTATTAATAATTTGGATTTCTCAATTTGGATTGCCTGCAATGAATGGATCTCCAACATGCTATCTCTTTTCTTGGTTGTACACTCTCTCTGACGGATGTTTTACTTTCTTGTGTTGTACTCCCACTTGTATCATTACCTACCTTTTAGTCTCGTGACTTCAACTTTTCCATATAGTGTTTTACTATTTGAGTCCCAGGAGGTTAAGCATCAGAAGCCCAAGGGGTGGTAATGCAATTTTGTCAAATTTCACAAGCGTTACACTTTAAAACAGACCATACTAATTTAACTGCTGCGCACCATACACATATTAATAATATTATTATACATCACAGTGACCAAGGATTGTTAAGGAATAATATCCAAATACTGCTACAAAAATAAACTGTGTTATTTAACGAGGAAAGATCAACTTAGGAGCGATATCAGGAGGAGAATCGGCCCATAACCAATACTGAACTTTAAAGGTAGACAACAAATCAAATGGTTTGGCCATGTAACAAGATTGGCAGCAGGTAGGTCACCACAAAGAGCAATGTTATACAGATACAGTGGTGATAGACCCAACGGTCGACCACGCAGAAATATCAGAGACACTGAAAAGTACTTTATATGAAGCAAACAGAAGGGCCTGTTCCATAGATCTATTCCTGCCCTGACGCCGCGAGGCATGCTAGGAGTGGAGAAAAGAAAAAGAAGTTAATTATTAGTAAACAGATGGTATCTTTAGAGAAATTAGTAAAAAGAAATAATGATTTTTCAACTTACCACTATGGCTTTCAAGGAAAACTCGATAAAATACATTGAAAATGAATCACACAGGAACATAAACCACTTAGTTATGTATAAATAAAACATCAATACAATCTGTCCATAAGATCTTGTTCCAGAGAAACTTTTAGAACATCACAACAGAGCACCATTTTTGGTAAAGAAGTATGACCTTAAAAAACAATTAGTATTTCCACCCCGCCCCATCTCCCCTTTAAAGCTTATATAACATTCATTTTGCCTGTATTTTATAACCTATTTTCTAACAGAACTTGTCCTGCAGTGGATACTAGCCAATATGGTATTCAAGGAAATGAGAGAGCAGATGATCTGGCAAAAGCTGGAAGTAATCTTTAACAACTTCATCCACCACATAGCTACAAGGAAACCAAAACAACCCTAAAGCAGTCTTACAAGGGGGAGTGGAGAAGGCAGAATAGAGACTACAGACCAGAGAGTGACAGTATAAACTCAGCAGGAAAGAACAGACATAAATTTTTAGGCTTCAGACAGGACACTGTGGTCTTTGAGCATACCTGTACAGGATAGAAATTTGACTAAAAAGCTCAACAAAATGGGGAAGCAGAAAAACGTGAACAAAACAACACAACATAACGTTTCGGCCCAGCAGCCTTTTTCAAACATAAACTTGTGTTTGAAAAAAAAGGCTGCCGGGCCGAAACGTTACATTGTGTTGTTTTGTTCACGTTTTTCTGCTTCCCCATTTTGTTGAGCTTTTTAGTCAAATTTCTCTGGAATTCCTTGTATAAGCTTGACTGCAGTCACTCCCATATTTTCACCATTCTGTACAGGATAGGCATACAATAATCTGTGCCTGCTTGTAGAGCAGAAAGACAGACTCCTGAGCACATACTGCAGGACTGCCCAAACTACTCCCAGCCTAGATTGTGGATCGGGCCCAAGGGAGCTACAGTACAAGAGAAGCTGTGAGGGGACCGGTGGCAACCTCAGACCCACGACCCTATTTGTGACCCAGACAGGACTAAATGTTTAGCATGGCTGATGTTGAACGCAGAAGAAGAAGAAGAAGAAGAAGATAAACTATTTTTTCAAATAATAAAGGAATTGCATTAAACCTAACTGATGCTGAAGAATGTTGCCTTTTTCACTAATATTTATTCTCTTTGTTCCAGCTGATTTTGTTATTGTGGTACACTTTGCATGAAGTATATGTTAGAGCTATCTCTCATCAGTGTTTGGCTCTATCAATCACTGAAACAAGTCTACTTACTAACTTTCTTTGTCTACCTCTTGATAAATCTAATAATCTAATTTTTTAGTAACCGTTTTTGCTCGTTTCCTTGCAAGCCCAGCTGATTTAGCACATTGTAAGTGGAAGTGGAGCTAAGACCTCTTGCGTCTACCTCGACGGCTCAGATTTTTTACTGTGTATGCTTTGTCTCTCCTCAGAGCGGCTACAAGCTCACCATACTTTTCGAGCTTGTACAGGTAATTTTCTTCCATCCACTTCTTGTACGGCACTGTCAGGTCAATCAGGATGAGCTAGCGTTTTTTTGCAGAGTGCAGAACTATTTCGGGCCTTAGGCCGGTCTTCCGGATTGACTCTCGGTACCTTTCGAAACCAGGCAGGCCTATAGCCAGTGACTAATGTATGCTCTATCAGATAACTTTGAATCGTAGATGTGGAAGAGGCTCTTCACCAGTTCCTCCAGAACTATGGGGATCCATTTCTTTGCCACTGTAAAACTGGTTGCCACCAATTTACCTTAAAGGATTGACAAACTTCTTGATTTCTGCGGTCTGAACTGCATTCCACACCATTCGACAACACAGTCCAACCTTTTCAGGCATCATCCTCACTGCCAATTATGATAGTTGTGTCATCCGTAAATGCACACAGTGGCAGCATCCAGTGGTCCCCATTTTGAAAGCCTTGCTTATAGCCAGTAGCCCCATCTAACATGACCTTACATAAAAGTAAATACCATTGGCGTATCAGGCATATGTTAACAGACACATTTATTTTAACAGATCAGTCAGCACACAATAGGTGATATGATAATATCTCACAGCTGGAAGCTCTAGTTTTGTTATAAAATCCACTTTGATGAAGATTCTGTTTATTACTGCTTTCTGTTCACGTGCTTACCAGTCACAGCTTTTTGGGGAATTTAGCTAGACATATGAGATACTTTGTATACAGAGAGTAAAAGATATGAAGAAAATGTATGTTCATGATCACTGCATTATAATTTTTGTCCACAGATATATTGTATTAGTCAGCAAACATCATGAAGGCTTCACCAACTGGCCTTCTAAATATTCTTTTAACTGGAACTCAAAAGATGTTGGTCCAAATCGAGATATTGTTGGTAAGAAAGCTGTTAAATTATTTTATCTGCAGCTGTTAACATTTGCATCACTAATTAAAACTTAAAAAAATAGGGGTAGATAAAAATCTTAGCTTGTTCGAGCCCTTGATGTTCATTGCTGCAGATATCACCCACTTCCATTCATCTGTCTTTTTTTCCCAGTTGGTGATAGAAAGTGTTCGTGGACTGTCTGGATATTATCGTCTTCTTGGTCTGCCTCATGGTCTATGATCATTCGACTTCCTCGTGTTTACAGTTTTTAACCTCTCTGTCATCTGACATTCTCTTAACATGCCCTAGCTATTTCAGTCGTTTAGCTCTCTTGATGCCAGGTGATCAACAGTGATTTAAACAGATTATTAATTTCTTTTTTGTTTCTCGCTCTCCATTCCCCGCTGTTTACATCTTTGATGGGTTCAAAGATTCATAGAAGCTGTGATAACCATTAACTAAATGCTTTACTTCCAGCCTAAAGGTCTTCAGTTTGAATCCTCATCAAAGCACACTTTTTTATAATTGACCTAATGCTGCCAAGTCTACAGTCTAAAATCGAAAACAGGAAATTTCCGTGGAGGTAAAGGTGACTGTCACAATGTTGACAACACCATTGATTGAATGCAGATTGGTCTATAAAACAGTAAGAGTAGAATCAAATGCCTGTTGCTCCACAGATGTGAAAAATGTTCTTTGCTTGACATTCAACATTTGTTACCATTTCATGCCTGCCTGTCTCTGTTTATTTCCATCTGGGTGACCGCTTGATTATTTGACCAACTCTATGATTTCAAGAATCACTTCCTGGATGTCAGTCCAACTGGGCACAACCGAGATACAGTACAGACTGCTTAAGGTGATCTCGGATGTGGCAAATTTCTGTTGTGAAGCATGTTTATCCCTGACCATTTTTTTGTGCTTGAATTCTTATCTGGATAAAAGGAATTTCTGATAAGAGGAATTATTTCTTGGGTCCCCAGTGAGTTCTCATTACCAGGTTTGCACTGGACCATGGAAATTATAATTAGGTTATGGTAGATGGCCACATTTAGTGGTGTACCCTACAGGTAAAGGATTTTGAGTATATCTGACACATTATCTTGAGATTAGGAGTACTTCATCATGAAGCCCAGCTCAAAAAGTTTTTCTAAAATACCATCCACACACACACACAAAATATTCAATCTAAACTCAATACATGCAGCATAGGAAATTGAACAATGTATTTCTAGGTGAGCTGATGAATGCCACAAGAAGACATACAGATCTGAGGTTTGGCTTGTACCACTCCCTGTTTGAATGGTTTCACCCACTGTACCTTGCTGACAAGAAGTCTGGATTTAAAACACAAGATTTTGTCAATGTGAGTGTCTGTTGTTTTTTTGTTTTTTTAAATACTGTCAATTTTATATGTTTCTTGTCCCCCCTTGTGAGTTCCGGGGGAAAACAAGAATAGACCCACTGCCTCCCCAAAAGCATGTCGTAAGAGTTGACTAATTGGGGAGCTTCCTTTGAAGTCGGAGTGCATCTGCCGGAGAGGCAAGGAACCAACAGTCTGTATTCAAGAGAATGAGATCTGTAAAACTGATGCACATGCAACAATCAGGTTCTGGAGCAGGACTGCAGTTCAGTAGTGGACGAGCAACTAGAACTTTCCGCCAGAGTGTACAGCTGGTGAACGTGAAGAAGAAGAAGATATGTTTCTTGTTTTATTTTTGCTTTTACCTGACAGTATGAAAGTTTCCACAAACCAGCACAGGATAGGACACCTATTAAAAAAGCCTGATGACACTATAACTACATCCTTGTACTGGAACCAGCATGACCAAAGAAATAGAGACTAAAAAAAAAAAACAAGAAGGATATTGGAGACAAATAAATATATTTCTTTGTTGATCTTTTTAGTACAGTTCACATGACAAATCCACAGCTGGCACAAAAGAAAAAAAAACGTTTTTCATAAAATCCATAGCTGGGTGGACATAAGAGAAGGACCTGGACGTAGCAAAGGATCACAAAGGCTTGGCACGATTTAGATGAGAGCCTGTGCAGAAAAAAAAAGTGAATTAGAAATTTGCCTAGAACTAAACATTTTACTTGGTGGTGAAAGGGAGCCGTTACTGTACTCATGTGTATATAAAAACTATTACTGGTGCATTCATTGATATCATCTTTATGGATTCATGAATGCATTATAGATGCCATCATTATCTCTTAACACTACGTGTCGTTGGGTCACCAGTTTCTGTTGACTGTCTGATCAGCTCTTCCTACCTTTGGCGGTCAGTTGCGATAGACTTCATGTTTGCATGCCTGAGACCTGTCCAGTCAGTCAGGTTCTGTAACCAGGTCTTTCTTGGTCTGCCTCTTCTCCTCTTCCCCCTGTATTGTTTTTGACAGGCCATTAGATCTCATTACATGTCCATACCATTGCATTTTTCACCTTTTCACTGTAGTTAAAAGAGGTTCATAGATGCCAATGTGCTACTGTATAGTTTTATGGCGAACTTCTTCGTTTGTAATCTGGTCCCTGTATGATATGGCAAGAATTTTTCTGAAACGTCGCGTAGATGCCATAAATTATTAATATATCATTTTTACTTTAAACTGGACATTTTCAAACCTTCCAGGACATTTTTCTAACCAGCTGTGAGATTGTAAGAGAGGCACAAATATTCCTCATGGTTATTATAATCTTCTTCTTCACGTTCACCACCTGTAAACTCTGGCAGAAAGTTCTGGTTGTTCGTCCACTTCTGGACTGCAGTTCTGCTCCAAAACCTGAGTGTTGCGTGTGCATTAGTTTTACAGATCTGATTCACTTGAATGCAGACTGTTGGTTCCTTGCCTCTCAGGCAGATGCACTCCGACTTCAAAGCAAGCTCCAATTAGTCAACTCTTACGACATGCTTTTGTGTAGACAGTGGATCTATCCTTGTTTTTCCTGAAATGGGGCCCAGGAACCCACACAGGGAGGTTATTATAATAAAATGCGCGTTCACATCTTGAATACAGTGAGACAACAGCTGATGACTATGCTCAGGATGAGTCTTTGACAGGGGTCCATAACCAGCCCCCAGTACTTTAAGACAAACACCATAGCACTGTCTTTGTGTAACCTGCTAATTTATTGATTACTTGTTTTCCTCAGCAAAAATCATTACCCGAACTCTACGAGCTTGTCAACAATTACAAGCCTGAAGTTGTCTGGTCTGATGGGGACTGGGAAGCACCTGATACTTACTGGAAAGCAAAAGAGTTCTTGGCTTGGTTGTACACAGACAGGTAAATGCTAAACTGCATCAGTCAGTTACTTATTTACGTTCACCTGAGCCTAGCTACCAACCCAAACCGACACAATAGGACAACACTAAAACAAATGACCGATATAATCATTGTGAGGCTCCACCGAACATTTCACACACATCTCCATGACATGAATAACCTGTTCCTATTGCAGGAAGACAACTATAAGATCACTATGGTCACACACGGAATATTTTCACATTTCGAGTCTATCCAAATACAAAAATTGTTTTCAGTACTTTTCGGCAAAGTAAAATACTCAAAATTTTAAAACTATAAATGATGGCGGTCTGACATGGAGGAAAGAAGCATTAAGCCCAGAGACGGCGCAAATACCAGAACTTTAGCCATGAAAGTAGCGCAAATAAACAAGACCACAAAGGAAGCTAGCAGTTTGAGTTTGAGTTTTTGATTTTTTTCTCAAAGGGATTAGAATTGGAAGTCAATTACTACAGTGTGATTATGATGAAGAGCCAGTGTCACTGCGCTTGAGGTAAGTTTATAAGTCAAGTTTGTCAGCAGAAGTAAAATAGCAAGGATGTTGTTTGTTCCTGTTACATACGCGATAGCTTCATTTTGCTGTTGCCCTCTCTCGCAGCTGATGTGACTAATTTCAGACATGTTTCCCCATTCCAGCAGCCATGATCAAGAAGTATTAGCTAATATTCGCAGGAAGTCCACTCTTTCAGTATCCCAGTGATAAGTACCATTAATGTCAGAATATCATCTTTCTCATTTCTTGTTTGAGGCTTCCATCAATGGCTTCACTCATGCTAGAGCTAGCTGAGCCTTCCTAATTCCTTTAGAAATGATTGCTGGAAGAAGAAAAAGAGGAGGATGAAGAAGAAAAAGAGGAGGATGAAGAAGAAAAAGATGAGGATATATACTTGACTTAACAGTGATATTATGAAAAGTACATTAAGTTTTGGTAAGATACTAATGTATATCCTTGACTTGGACAGTATCATACATGTTGCTGTTACTTCCAGTGACGATTCCTGGTTTACATTCAAGGGTTAACTAACCAAGTCTTTACATATAACAAACCAAATAACCAGGGAGTTTGCCAGCAGTCATATGCTAGCTGAAATTCTTGTAAACCTGCACAACTTCCAACATACTCACCACCTAAAGAAAAAATCGAATTGAGTTGATTCAAGAACTGACAGCGCATCACTCGGGGCATTCCCTTGAGCGCTCTATCCCCATCCTCAGCTGCCAGCGCAGAGCTCCTGTACCAATGGTGCCAGTAGCAGTCTGATTATATGTCCGTCTTGCCTTTCCTCTGAGCATCGAATATCGGCCAGATCGCTCATCGCCAGACTGTGGAGATACATTTGCTCCTCTGCTTTGTGCACATGCTTTCATAAGGCCTTGACTGTGTCAGTCTTATCATGCATCAGTATTCCACCAAGTTGTGCAGAGCTAGCCAATCTGTCCGCCTGTTCTCTTCCCAACACACTGTCTTACCTGGAGAAAAGATCCAGACAATGCTTCTCACTCTTGACCTCCGAAGCGAAGCATGTCACTCTGCACAAAGCATGCTTGTCCTCACCTTCCTCAGCATGCTTTTTGAGTCAGTTACAGTCACGATGTGTGTGTATGTGTCGTGTACTATAACCAGCGAAAAGCTAAAATGATCGCCTCCATCTCCATTCTTAAGCTGGATGTTATGGTATCATATGCTAGGTTTTTCTCAACTATTAGCTTTTGCTAAGAACCCCCAAGCACATCTTTTGCCTCTTGACACTGAACCTCTGTATAAATAAAACAATCTAATTGAAAGCAAGAGGTTGCTGTAGGAGTAGATGGATTGATGAAATAAAATATATTCTACATCAACACAGAATGGCAATAACTATAGCTACCCATCAAGCAATGGATTACAGATTGCTCATTCCCCTATGATTCTTAACAGAAAAAAAAGTATCAATTGGTGATGGTTACATATGTAATATATTTGTCAGTTATAAATAACACATTTTGATGAGTTGAACCATTTTCTTCATGATTTCTAGCCCAGTTAAAGACACAGTGGTGGTCAATGACAGGTGGGGTTCAAACATCTCCTGCCATCATGGTGGTGTGTACACATGTGGCGATAGGTACAACCCAGGTCAGTCACACGGTAGTTTTGATGCCTTTAATTTTGCTTAAGGAACTCAACCGAAAAGATGAATTCATACACTACAGATAAGATGCACACCGGATGCAAAAAAATGGTGGATGAAATTTTGACTTCTTGAATTAATCACAAAAAATCCTACACTTTTCTGTCTACCATCAAATGTAATTTGTATTTTTTATGAAATGATGACAGCAAGAAGATTGTCATACTGTTATGGGACTACACCAGAACTGTGGTTTTTCTGACTGCCTTCATGTTGGTGTAAGTTTGTGGCCAAGTTCCTCTGACCGCACGGGACACATCATAATGGTCCTCGAAAACAACAATGCTACATCGGCTGAGATTAATTTTAAGCATAAATGTCGATATGCCAATGATGCATATGATGTTTAACTCCTGTTTACAGACGTACACATATGTTAGGGTGAATAGTTTGGTCCCATATGCCAGTACGCTGATCTAGTTCACCAAAGTAAGTAAAATAAGGTGCTGAAGTTGGATAAAAACAAGCCAGGAGGCGCACCACAAAAATCAGGATACCACGAACAAACACTACAGGAAATATATCTGTATCTGCGAATACTGGAAGTCACACCCAAATGCCTCATGGAACCAGGAGAACCAAAAATACATCTAGTCTCAAAATAGTGCGCTGGAATACGGAGGGAGTAAAAAGCAAAAAAATTAGAACTAGAAAACACTTTGAACGAAGAGAAGATCCACATATGCTGCCTTCAAGAGATGTATCTCAAACAAAACATAGCCTTCAAGATCAGAGGCCACCAGTGTTACCGCTCTGACCGGAAAGACAGAAGAAAGGATGGGATACTAACCCTAGTCAAAGATAACATATTTACCTGCCAGACTGAGACCTACATGGAAGGGGCAGAGAATCAGATTCGCTCATGGCAGAAGATACAGATTTCCAACTAATCAGCTATTACTGTCCTAGCAATGGCCCTCAGGTGCCAGAAACAATAGTAGCAAATGAAAGAATTATCATGTGTGGAGATTTCAACAGTCACTCGCAAAGCTGGGGTTACAATCACATGAATCAGAGAGGAGAGAAACTGGAGGATTGGCATGATGAAAACAGATTCATCCTCATTAATAGGCCAACCGACCCTACAACCTTCACCCTCCTATACCAAAATCTCAACCATTAGCTTCACCTTCTTCCCCTAACAACAATCAGGTGTCATTCAGATAATTGGAATACTACTAAGAGAGAATAAGGAGCCCTCATACCTCGTGGTAATGTTTGATGCTAGGTTAACATGGAGAAAACACATCAACAAGGCAGCAACCAAAGCCAGAAGGAAGATAGCTATCCTGAGAAAACTAAGTGGAACAACATGGGGCGCTAATTGGAAAATACTTAGGAAAGTATATCAACAAAGTGTGTGACCATACCTTGAACACGGGTCAACTACATGGAGTTCAGCATCCAAAACCACACTACAAAAATTAGACAAGGTGCGAAATCAAACACTTAGAGTCATAACAGGCAGGATGAAATCAATACCTATAGCTGTGATGGAGAAGATGGCGATGACCCAAACACTGACAGAACACAGAGACACTAAGATACTAATACAATCAGAAACATTTCTTAGCATGCGTGAACACCCTATGAAAGAAAGATTTCAAAATCTAGCAATGGGGCGACTAAAAAGAAGCAGTTCCATCCAGCAGGCCCAATGACTCTGCAGTCAAACCACTGATCTGCCTGCAGGTGATAGCCCCTTAAATGCTATCCCAGATCAGATCCCCTGGAGAGAAGATTATGTGTTGCCAATATACATCCAGACAGAATGGAAAGGGGTATATCGACAACGAAGTACAGAACAGTGTGCAGCGTAAAACAGCCACCCTTAGTCTACTACACGGAGGGGTCAGCACAAAACGCAAGCAGAAATGGAGGAGCAGGAGTGTACATTGAGCATCCAAATAATACCAGATATACAGCCAAAATACCAACAGGAGCACTGTCACAACTATGATGCAGAAGTTCAAGCCATAAAAATAGCAGCAGAGAAACTACTAAATATATGTCATATTTCACAACCTGCAGTATTCCTGACAGATGCAAGAGCGGTACTTCAGGCACTCAAATAGAAAAATTACAGGGTATTCTGAAACTACTCTCTGAACTGGGCAACCGGTGTAAGGTAGCTTTTCAATGGATACCATTGTGGAGTTCCCAGAAATGAAAGAGCTGATAAACCAGCTAAGGAATGAACAGGTAGATAGATTGCCTGGATCTGCACCACTGGGTGGTGAATTGATACATGACAAGACAGATGTAGTCAAGGCCCTTTTGGAACAAGCAACGGAATCAATAGAAAAACAAGATTATTATGGCCTGGAGATATTGAGGTACCTAGGTGTAACCAGAGAGTCTGGCCGGCTCACTACACTCAGAGGAAAGGCAAGACAGACATATAATCAGATTGTGACCGGTACCATCAGTATTGGAACTCTGCGCTGGCTGCTGAAGATGAGAACGGAGCATGCACGGAAATCCCCCCAAGCACTGTGATGTCAATTTTTGACTCAGCTCAAAAGAAGAGAGGGACAGAGCAAGAGGTATGCTAAGAACTAGATTGAAATATACTAACAGGGAAACTCTGCAGCAGTACGATATGTCTGTGGTCGAGGCGGCCAGAAGAGCAAGAAGCAGAACCTTGTATCTCTCTTGACACCCGAAGCGGAAGTAAAGAAGAAGAAGAATGACAGTAACGATGAACAAGTATGCAATGGGCTTAGCCAGTTTTCTTGTTTGATTTCTTTTGAATTATTTAAAAAAAAATATTATGAATGTTATAATTAAAATTTAAAAGGAAAAAAACACACACACATATTACAATAGTGCACCACACCTGTTCTCATTTCAGAGAAAATCAGCTAGCGTTAGTGATAAGTTTCTAATCACTTTAGCAAAGTTTATCTTGTCACATAAATCGTTGGGGGTTATTTGTAAATGATCTGTTACAGGGGTTCTTCAAAAGCATAAGTGGGTCAATGCCATGACTATTGATAAGTACTCATGGGGTTTCAGAAGGAATGCTCGCTTGTCTGACTACCTGACCATTGAAGAGCTGTTGCAGACTTTTGTCATTACTGTCAGGTATGTTTGTTCTACAGGTTTCATTGTTACTCATAGACATGTCTGCAGACATTCATTATTATTATTATCAGGACTGTCTGCAGACATATTATTTATTTACTCATGTCAACGCCCATAGCTTAGGCGTTGCGAATGAGCTTTATAATGCCAGAGGGTCGGGTTCGATCCCAGCTGCAAGCCTTGTGCCTTGCGTTGGTTTTGACAGTAGTGAAGCCGACAGTCCAGAAAGCAGTAGCAAATTACTGGATATAAATTTTGCCTAGAAAAACCACAACAGCCAAAAAATACTGGGGTTGGATCTGCAATGTCCTGTAAAGGATGCATAAATAACTTATTTTAACATCTCTGTTATAGCCTTATTGATAGTTTGACTTAACGTTATCAGACATGAGGCCCTGAAAACTAACTGTCTCCTATACCTGGGCTCTTGGGCATTAAAGCGAAAAACCAACATGATATACAAACATTAGTTGCATGCAAACAAGTGGTTAGAATGAGATGAAATGTGAAGACATTGTAGAAATAGGTTTACCTTTCATCGCTGAAATTCAGATCTGTATTTGGTGACACAAAATTCCTTGTCCAACCTTCACCACCACCTAGATCTCCCCCATCAGCTGTTTGAGGGACACGCCCCCCTTCTCTTACTATCGATCAAGGTCTAAATTTATGAGGTTCAAGATTCTCCTCATCACTCGAGCTCTCAATTTCTGTGTCACTTCAACTGGAAACATATTCTTGTTGAAATTCTGACTTCTCAGTCTGAATCCACCAAAGTATCGATCACCTGTTGGACTGTGAAAAGCACAGAGCTACTTCGCTTTCCTCTTGAAGTGCTTGGTTCATCAGCCGCTCGTTTCATAGTGAATTTTCAAAAATATTTAAGTTAAACCACACAAAGTAAATTCATGTGAGCAGACATTTGCAATGACTAGCCTCAAGGTTTGATCACGATTGGTTGGCTATTTTTAGTTCGTAACACATATTTTAAAGTAGTACGCAAAGTACCGAAAATTAGGTACAGCGGTTAAGCGGCAGATTAGGAAATTTAAGGAAAAGCGATACAGCATTCTAGTAGAGTTAAACTCCCATGTGTTGTAATCTGTTTGATAATTTGCACGTAAACCCTTGTGTATGCTGCAATTAATTATGCATTTTTCAGCAAGGAGTCATTGTCCTGTGTGATTGTCACTAGCATGGGAGCTGAGCAATTGTGGGTCACCTGTTTACTGTGTAGTTGGAACCGCTACTAACTAGCTTGACATGCAATATTTCCCTTAAAACTGATGTTACGGCATATTATACCATTGCAGATATCTGTCAGGAAAAAGTTTCACAGTTGCCTGCCAAAAGATTAAAACAGTCATTATGAAATTTTGGGATTTGATGTTTGGTTCACCTACAATATAGATACAAAAAAAAAAGAGCTTATCAAGGATTAGAACCCGAAGTCATAATCTGTAATATTATTCGAACCTTTGACCTCCCACTCATCATTTTCTACTAAAATCATATCTCTTCTTCTCCTTCACGTTCACCAGCTGTAAACTCCGACAGAAAGTTTTGGTTGTTTGTCCACTTCCTGATTTGAGTCTAGTTCCAGAAGCTCACTGTTGCATGCACATCCATCTTACAGATCTAGTTTATTTGTATGCAGACATTTGTTCTTTGCCTCTCAGGCAAATGCACTCTGACTTCGAAGGAAGCCCACAAGTATTTTAATTGAATCTTACGACATGCTTGTTGGGCAGGCAGTGGGTCTATTCTTGTTTTCCCCACAAAGGGGTCCCAGAACCCACACGGGGAGATATACTAAAATCATATAAATTGTAATGATTAAGTTGAATGTAATATTTGCAGCTGTGGAGGTAACATGCTGATGAATGTTGGACCTCCCAGTCATGGGCACATCACTCCAATTTATGAGGAACGTCTCCGCCAGCTGGGGTCGTGGCTCAAAGTCACAGGAGAAGGCATTTACAGTTCTAAGCCTTGGACTTATCAGAATGATACTCTGACCAAAAATGTTTGGTATGTATTGTTTACATCTTGAAACCCTGTATAATTGTTATTTGTGCATATATAAGTATTTATCTATTAACAGCTGGTTTTAAATCTGAGAGCAGAGACCTGTGAATTCAATCATTCAACGAAAAATGAATATAATTTGCAAAGTTCTTTGAGTAGGTTTACAAAAAAGAAAGAAAAAATCGCAGGAACTTTTTCTGTGTCTTGAGTTGTATTGGGTATGGGGTTCTAGTTCTATTTTTGTAGAGACCTATCGTCTGGGTAATGTGATGAGTATCAGTGCTAGCCACCTTTACTTCCCGAAATATTCCCTGCTATCAATTTTATATCGATCAGCTTTGGAGTCCAGGTACATTTATTTTAAAAAAAGCTTTGCCTTAACCCTACCAGACCTGAGGCCCTGAACCTAACTGTCCCTATAACCTGAGCTCCTGGGCATTAACGCGAAAAAATCAACATGTGCTGACCACCACACTACCATAGCTCCTAGCTGGAAATGACATTTGTTAAAAGATTCATTTTTTTCATCATAAACCACCTCTGCTGTTAAGCGCCATAGGGAGGAATAAAATGCAATCCAGTGTCTGTTGGTTGGCACTGGCTATTGTCATGCCTTGAATGCACAAAGTGTCTTTAATATGTCAATTCATATTTTGTTGTTGCAGTCTTCTTATTGTTGTAGCTGATTGTTGTTGTTGTTGCATTCTAACGATATGGCCAAACCACTAGATCTGCTGTTTCTCAATAAATCTAGTATTATCTGTCCGATAATATCATTATTCACTCTATCTTGGATGGTTAGGTTGGTGTCTGTTCTCTGGTATCTCATCGCAATTGGTGATGTTACTGTTTTGTTTAGCTGTCATAGTTGTCTTAATAATGGTGACAGCTGGTATCTAAATGTACTTGATGTTTGACATTAGTTTCTATTTCTCAGTCAATGCCATCTTCCATGATCATACTTCCTCGATATTTAAATTCCTTGACTTGTTTTAGGCCAGAAACATGCAGCTGTGTATCTGGCGGGCTAGAGGTTCTGCTGACTTGCATTGTTTCAGTTTTGTTTGCATTGATCTTCATGTTGTATTTACCGCGTGCTGATCATAACCTATTAATATGTTATTGCAGTATCTTTTTTGCTCTAGCACAAGCACTGGTCATCAGCAAAGTGTAGTTTGTTTAATATGGTAGTGTTGATTAATAAAAAGGTTGACAACTGGTAATTAGATCCACACATATACCAAGTTCCAGCATAATAAAAGCTTGTAGCATATACTTAGTAGCAGCATAACAAAGCGATTAGACCCAAGTTCTTTGCTCACAACTTTTCTGTAAATTGTATTAAAATAACCTGATACAGATTTTGTAAGGTCAGCCCACCCCAGAGATCATTAAGACAATTCCGGTCTTACTTCTACTGTAGATTGAGTCTTAAATTGTATTGCTAAGGGAAGGTAACAAACTTACCATCACAATCCTTGTCATGTACCATGTCGATGAGTGTACACTGTCATATTTAACCATCTCACACGAGCACTAGAACCATCGAGCATGTCAGTTTCTTGTCTGGCCTCATGTGTATGAACATGCCGTCCAGGTATTTATCTCTTTGCCTTCTCATTCCTTTCTTTCCATCACTCTGGTCAGTTGTAACTGAGCCCATTCTTTCTACTAACATATCCATAAAACTTGAAATGCCAGCGTCTAACTTCTCTTTGCAGTTTATGATCCATCATCACATTACCACAGCTCGACATGGGGAAATTTGAAATGAGTCAGTGAGATATTGTATGGAAATGAGTCAGTGATATATTGTATGGAAATAGTCAGTCAGATATTGTATGGAAATGATTCAGTGAGATATTGTATGGAAATAGTCAGTCAGATTTTGTTTGGAAATGAGTTAGTGAGATATTGTATGAAAATAGTCAGTAGAGACTGTATGGAAATGAGTCAGTGAGATATTGTATGGAAATAAGTCAGTGAGATATTGTATGGAAATAGTTAGTCAGATTTTGTATGGAAATGAGTTAGTGAGATAGTGTATGAAAATAGTCAGATATTGTATGGAAATGAGTTAGTGAGATATTGTATGGAAATGAGTTAGAGAGATATATTGAATGGAAATGAGTCAGTGAGATATTGTATGGAAATTAGTCAGTGAGATATTGTATAGAAATGAGTCAGTGAGAGACTGTATGGAAATGAGTCAGTGAGATATTATATCCACATTGAAGGTTGGCTGAAATGGATCTTGAATGTTCTAGTCGTAAACTTTCTGAGACTGCTCTTTCTCATCCTCTTAATGAATTCCTTTCACTTGAATCACTATCTAGATTTTCACTGTCTGCCTTGAACTTTTTCCTTCATTACGTTCTTTATGAGAGTGTTGAGTTTATGAAATAAATGTAGGCTAAATATTTTGTTTGGCTTTTTATTTTTGTCTCTTTTTTATTTCTGTAACTCTCTTTTCATCCTAGCTTCTCCAGAACAACTGTAATTCATGGTTTCCATGAAAAAACACTCACTGTTTTATCTAGTTTATCTACATCTTGAGGCCTTTACATCAGTCTTTTGATTTGCTTGTTTTCTTTGCCAAATAGTAAGTAAAGATCCCTTTTCACGCCTTAGGCACATGTGGGAAGAGCATCCCATATTTTTACCAACCAATCGGCCAAATAGTAGGGTTGAGTTAAAAGAAAAATCATTTGAAATTCCTAGTTTTGTGTAATATTTATCTCTCTAGATGTTAATATTTTTCTTATATTGTTGAAAATATTTTTGGCCATTCCTATTCTTATTTAATTTCCGAAAGTCACAAGTAAGCTTTTGGTAAGAAATAGCTTTATTATATAAAAATAGAATACTCATTTAGAAAATGATATTTTAATGCTGTGGCGATTGGTGGAGGGGATATTATTAACATTAGGCAAAGAATCACAGAACAGACACTGAAATGTGAAACAAATGGATTTAGGTATCAAGGATGCTCAAGAGAAACTTCACCTATTACCACCATCAGTAAGAGAGGCCAGAGATGCTGGACTAGATTTATCGCCATGTAAGAAAATTCCACATTTTAGAATGGATTGACAAAAATCTACAGAAAACCCTTTAAACAGCACAACATAATAATGAGATGACATGAGAACTAGTAATTTAATTTAATTTTAAAAACTAATTTTTTGATTTACAGGTACACATCCAAATCTAGTTCGTCAGGCACCGATGTTTATGCTTTCATCTTTGACTGGCCATCTACCTCAGTACTCTCCCTTGGACTACCAAAAACATCTGCAGCTACCACCATTTCCTTGCTGGGTTATCAAGAACTCTTTAGCTACAACACCAGGCAACCTACAGGAGTTGACATTGTCATTCCGGCCATTCCATTTACCAAACTGCCTTGTCAGTGGCTCTGGGTCTTCAAAATCACAGCCGTTGAAAATTAGCAGGATAGCAGTGCCTGTGAGGGCTTTTTTTGTATATATGTAATGTGATTTTACATGAAATAATATTTTAAAATGTGGGATTTGTCAGTTTGTTCTTCTATTACAAAGATTATATCTTCCAAGAAGAAGTTGGAGAGATAATGTCCAGACAGACCTACAAATACTTGGTGTCACCAACTGGAAAGAGAAGGCCAACCAGAGAGCTGAATGGAAGTCTGTGATATCTGCAGCAATGAACCTCAAGGGCTAGGAATGCTGAAGAAGAAGAAGAAGAAAGATTATTTCTCAGTAGAAAATTTGGATTGAATGAGGCCATGACACAAAGGAAAGTTTTCACAGATTTCACAAGGAAATAGTAAATATTCATTTGTGATATTCTGAAAAGAAAATCTGGAAATATATTGTAGTAACTAAAATATTATTTGGAAGCTGCTGTAACACAATGGCTAGTTATGTGGCTGTTGGCCTGGAGGTCTTTAGTTCTTAGCCACATGAAAGCATGAAGAAACTGACCGTCGTTCTAGTGTTTGTGTAAGACAGTTCATGACAGTGTACACTTATCGACACAGTACACGACGAGGAATCTGACAATAAGTTTGTGACCTTACTCTTAGAAATACAAAGACTAAGACTCAATTCACAGTAGTAGTGAGACAAATTTGCTTCATGATCTCAAGGGGGGGGGGGGGGGGTATCTAGGAGGGGGGGGGGGGGTAAAATGGGTATCAGAAAATGTTAAAGGAAGTAAGGGTGGCTGGCATGATTTTCAGCACATCACCCATTGAGCGCCAGTTGGTCTCTAACAATAGGGATCTAGCAAATGGTCGGAACAGGGTGTCTGTTTTACAATTATTAATTTATAAAGAGAAAGATGATAGCTCCTGCACAAATAGAGGAAATTTAAGAGTGATACAGCTCTGGGAGAGAACTAAAATAATTCCAGTGAATCAAGAGGAGGAGAAAAGAGGCTGATGATGGGTAGGGCACACATTGACAAAAAAAAACAACTGAATAAATATAATGTCTTTACAATGGAACCCACAAGGGCATGACAATGATGGCAGAGAGAAAAAAAAATATGGAAGAGGGGCTACAGAATGAAATTAATGTGAAGGACATTGGGTATACAGCAAACGATATCAAAGGATAGGAAGACTCTGGCATGTTGATTGAAGGCTTATGCTCCATGGGAGTAAAGGACAGAAGAAAGAGAGAAAATAGGATGGCAAGTAGAGAAGATTCTCAAAGAGAAAAGAGGATAGCAAGTACAGAAGATTCTAGAAAGCCTGAAGTAATGACAGGTACAGAAATTCACCTAACAGGAGTTGTGGAGAGACATGATCGCCCATCTTTTATTGGAAAGCAACTTTATGATGATGCAAGGATGAATTTATTCACCTCAGCGTTGTTAATTTAATTTTGATGAAAGTCGTAAACTGATTAGAAAAATTGGATGTAGACGGTCATACCATGGCAGAGATTGGTGCCTCACTAGTTAGCAGTGAATACATTACAGCTAGCCTCTTTTGTGGAGATGGCACATTTTCTTCTTCTTCTCCTTCTTTTCTGTATTCCTGAAATGCTTTGAGATGTCAGGGCAGGAATAGATCTCTGGAACAGGCCCTTCTGTTCACTTCGTAAATAGTTCTTTTCAGTGTTTCCGATATTTCTGCGGTCCATCTTCTGCGGTCGACCTCTCAATTGTTTACTTAGTTTGTTTTTTTACTTTCATAAAATTTCATATTAAGTTGTTTGTAACAATGTAACTAAATAATTTGAAAACATCAGTACTGTTTAATAACCTGTAAATAATAAAAGTAATGCTTTGACATAATTTACCATTCCAGCCTGTTGAGGTAGGCATTCACACACACTAGGTAATGGTATGAGGATAAAGGGCTCAGTTTCTTGCTAATTAAATTTTCTTACGAAAGAATTTATAAATATTGTTGGATGTTGTGTAATATATTGGTTAATTCAGCATAAATATAGATCTGTATTAATAAAAATGTAAATTTCCGTTGGTTGTAATAGCTAATCTCTGAAAATTCTTCACAGATTGCTTTCAAATTTTCACACAACATTGTATTCGACTGCTTGTGTGTTTTTATGTAAGAGTGTAACACAAACCACGAACTACATAGCTACAGCAACGATCACATAGGTTTTTGTTTTGTTGCTGGGCCAAAATTGTTTTTAGTTCTGCTGGTGGGCGACCTTTGACCGTTGACCTCAGACCTCTGCATGAAGCTATGCCCAAAGGTCTTCGCTGATTACTTTGTAAATTTCACACAACATTGCATTCAAATACGCACATGTTTTTATACAAGAGTGTTGCACAAGGCATGAACTACGTAGCTCCAGCGAGGATCAAATTGTCATCTTGGTTTTGTTTTCCGACAATCCGATTAATTTTTCTTCTTTGCTGCGTTTATGACGCAAGTTGTTATTTACACTGATAGGCGACCTTTGAATGTTGACCTCAGAAATCTGCATGAAGCTGGTCGTTATGGTATCAAAGAGTTGTTGACAGAGTGTATAGAAATGTTAAGATGTGGGCATTTCTTCGTTGAGGGAGAGAGGAGTTGTCGGTGCATTTAGGAGGAAAGGGAGAGGGGGTGATGACAGAAACCGTTAACTGAGAGAGCTTAAAGTTAATTTTAGTCTGGATGGACACGGATGCCAAGGTCAATTGAAAATTGTCAGATGATGAATTTCAGTTATTTATATTTTAATAACGCTTCCTCTGCTATTCTCATGTTTTTTTAAATTTGTTGTGACACTTGTCTCTGATATGACAAAAGACAGTCAAAAATATGTTATCTTCCTCTGTCATTTTCTCCATAAATCCCTCCAGTTATCACATGTTTCAGTTTTTCCTCTGATCATAATATGAACAAAAAATGACAGTTGTTTTCTTCTTATATTTGTGGTAATTTGGGTGTGTCTTAGTCCATTTCATAATGTTTAGATTACTCATTTTGTCTTTCCAAGGAGGTTTTAAAATTCCTTAGTAAAATCCACATCTGATGGAAAAGAACAGTTTTTGACCCAACACGGAATAGATTGCACTAGCTAATGTCTTTAAAACTATCTTTACTCCTTGCATTTATTTTATTTTATAGCCATATTGGAAAGGTGTGTTATAACATATAACCACATATTGACTCTTGGGGACCCTCTTCTGTCACATCAGATCTTCTATCCATAGCTTGCACCTGCATTGGTAGTACTAGCTGTGGTTGCGTTCTGATGTGATGAACCAACCCATCTGATCTTCTGCTTCTTAACTCTTTGAGTCCCAGGAGGTTTAGCATCACAGTCCCAGGGAGTAGTAAAGAAAGTAATAAAATCGGGGCACCATGCGTTTATTGGGTTTCTAGGTAGGAACCTATGAACGTATGATGCGTTCCTTGGGACTCAAAGAGTTAATAAATTTAGTTAAATGTGATCCACCATCTGTCTCATTGTATTTCTCATTTGATCGTGTATTTCTGATTCATTCACATTTCTTTAACATTTTTGCATTTGTTTTTGTATTTCTCTTTTTTCCCCTCTTTTTTTTAATTCCATAATTTGAAGAATTCCTTATGTTATTCATTTCTTTTTTTGCAGTGTTATGCAAAAGAGGAATTATTTCTTTTGTTATCAGTTGTACAAATTCATGCAACATATCTTATTGTTTGTCAATCATTTGTATTATCTATGTGCCATTATATTTACTTTGTACATTTACATTGAGCCTTTTAATGTTTTGTTTTAAGCAGTGCTAACCATTTATGGGTTCTGGGAACTTCTTCTTCTTCACATTCACCAGCTGTACACTATGGCGGAAAGTTCTGGTTGCTCGTCCACTACTGAACTGCAGTCCTGCTCCAAAACCTGAGTGTTGCGTGTGCATCAGTTTTTCAGATCTCATTCTCTTGAACACAGACTGCTGGTTCCTTGCCTCTCCGGCAGATGCACTCCGACTTCAAAGGAAGCTCCCCAATTAGTCGACTCTTACGACATGCTTTGGGGAGGCAGTGGGTCTATTCTTGTTTTCCCCACAATGGGGCTCCGGAACCCAACGGGAGGGGGGGGGGGGGGTTGCTGTAATCTGTTGTAATCAGATAGATATGTTAAGGTATGTTAGTCTAAAAGGCATAGCATATCACAGCTTAGCTGTAAACCACAACATATTCTGCAATCTATCCTTTTAACAAGTGCAAGAGAAGAAGTATGTTTAAAGATATGATGTAGCTGTAAATACTCAAATATTTATCTGTTATAACTTGGCTTATGGTAACGTTTGTGGGACTAAAACAACTTTCAGCTGTTTGTTAATTTAGACCACGGTTGAGCAGTTCATGTCAAGAAAAGCCCCGACCGAAACATTAGTTTGTCTTGTTGCGTGTACATTGCATTTATTACACTAAAGCATTTGATTAAGTGAAACATGATGTAATTATTAGAATTTTGAAAACCTTCAACACTGATGGTAAAGATCTGAGAATAGTAGGAAAAAACATATACTGGCAACAAGAAGCAGTTATAAGGATTGACAGCCAAGTTGGAACTTTTCAAAACATTAAACAAGGCGATAGTGAAATACTAATTGCATCCATAGATGGTATGCCAGGGATAGTGGTTGGAGGGCATATTGTTAACAACCTGTGATGTGCTGATGATATAGTTTTGATTGCTAAAAGTGAAACACAGCTGCAAGGAATGATGGGTATAATTTTAAGAAAAATGGAGCCCGGCTCGCTAGCGTAGTTGGCTAAACCCGATTGCACAGTGACCTTGTGGTCCAGGTTCACTCCCGGGGGTAGGCAGAAAAGCTACATTTCTCCCAGATTTACGGTATTTACGATGGAATCAAGGCCAAAAAGTTGCGATATCTATAATACTGAGCCTAAGGGTTAACAACTCATGGCTTCTGGATACTAAAAACAAACCAAAAAAAAAACAAAAAAAAGTGAAAACAAGGGTCTCAGTTTGAACAGCAGAAAAACAGAAGTAATGGTAATTACAAAGACAACCAATCCTCCAAAATACAACATCAAAGTAAATGGGACAAACCTCAGACAAGCTGATATGTTTAAGTACTTGGCTACCCTGATAACTTTAGATGGAAGATTTGTTAAGAAAGTTAAATGTCAAATAGCTCAAAAGCAGCATTTTACAAAAATGAGGAATATTTTATGCAGTCTTTCTTGGTCAATTGAGATGAGAAAGAGAATTCTTAAAAGCTATATAAATCCTATATTGATATACAAATGTGAATCATGGACAGTTAGTAAATTAGTGAAAACTTATTTGGAAGCTGTGGGGAAATGGTTTTATAGACGAATAATGAGAATACCAATACCCTGGACAAATAAAAAGAGGTCTTGAAAGAAACTGAATCACGAAAAACACTGATTGCCCACATCAGAAGGAGACAATCTACATTCTTTGGTCATGTGATGAGAAGAGGAAACTGGAGTACATTGTGACTAGAAATGTTGGAGGGGAGGAGAGGCAGAGGGAGACCGAGAAAACAGATGCTGGATGGATGGCTTGACATCATAGCATGGAAGATCATCTGTGTCAGTGGTTATTGAAAGTACCCAAGACATAAAGTTGTGGATAGACATGACTATCAATGCATAGACATGGCATGGACTTTGAGAAGAAGAAGAAGAAATGTACATTGCTTTCCTCACCCCTTTCTTGAACTTTTCAGTCACAGTTCATTGGATTTGCTTGTTAATTTAGTAATGTTAGAACATTTTCATTACAATAAAATTTTTTTAAATAAAAAGACTTAGAATGCTGTCTTGTGTTTGACGTGTTTATGACTCTTACATAAATGACTACAACACGAATGTCAATTGTGGGACAAGCAAGATGGGCAGAGATCCTGCAAAGAGGCAACTAAAATAGATGGAGTATGCTCTAAAATAATCTCCTCCTTAATTCATGTCTGATTACGGGTTGCAGTTCTCCATAAACAGAATTCCTCCTCTTGCACAGCCTACTGTTCCTTTTGGCAGGGTCTTTTCTCCTCTGTTAGAAACGTCTTTCATTACATTCAAGATGAAGTGCTACAATGGGTATCCATTTTTTCAGGCACTCTTTAAGGGTCAGGTTAATCTGGAAACTCAGGTAATTTACAAAGATCTGCCTCAACTGTTATTTTAATGTGGGATTATTGGACTGTCAAGCAAGAAATATTGTGACTCATCAGGAATAGAATGTTATACTTATTGTTTTAATGGGCAGTAAAGGCAGCTGGCGTCACTGAGTGCTGACATGTTATAAACACATGGATCTAGCTTCATATGCCCAGTATACCCCAACATACTTCTTTTCTTTATCCTCTTCTCCATTTTTTCGTCTTCTCTCCCTTCTTATTTTTCGTCTTCTTCTCCTCCTCCTTCCCTCTTCTTCCTCCCATCCATCTCATTATGTCCCTTCTTCTTTATCGTCGTCTCCTCCTCCTCCTCCTCTTCTTAGGTTTTTTTTTTTCAGCATTCTGCCGTGCCCTTAAAATTCATTGCTGTAGAAATCACCTGCCTCTATCTGGTCTTCTCTTTCCACTTGGTGACTACAAGTGTTTGTAGATCTGCCTGTGTATTATCTCTCCCCTCTTTTTGATCTTCCTCATGATCAACTCCCATTCAGCTATTGTCTTTCTCTGCTTATTGCTGTTATACCTCACAGGCACAGTTTCTGAGATAGTGCAAGCTCATTAACTTGCTGCATGGTGATATTGTTGTGTTTCAGCAAGTTGTTAAACTTCCTTCTATGGTTTTTAACAATATTTTTGGGGAGCTTTCTACCTCTTGATGTTTCCTTTCTCATGTTGTATGTTTCCGCAACTGGGACACTGGGTTTCTTCTGACCAGGTGGCCAAACCATTTCAGTCTGTTTTTCAGTAAATCAAATTACAGGCGTTCCTACCATTCTAATGATATCTTCGTTTTATTTATGGTCTATTCTTGATATGTTGACTGTTTTTCTCAAACATCTCGTATCATATTTTGTAAAGTTTCTGTTCTTGTGCTTTTGTTAAAGCCCAGGTTTTGCACTGGTAACACTGTTGGTAAAAAGATTGCATTTATGATTTGTCTTTTAGTTTTAGATATGAGAAGAGAGCTAGACACTGAGATAAATACCTTGGTGGCTTGCACAGGGCATATGTTCCTTCCAGTACGCAACGGTACACAGTACCAGCATCTTTTATGCATAATTTTTAGTGCTGCTGTAATAAACATGTTGTAGTAGGTTCCTGGCACTTTTTTTTAGACACTCTGAGTACCGGTATCTTTCTTCCAGAAAAACAAAGCAAGCAGTGGCTTGCTTACATAATATGATCAAGATAAGATTTTATTAGTTACTATATATCAGAGCCATCTTAACAACATTATGGGCCTCTGGGCAAACCAGCGAGCTGGGGCCCTTCTGACAACTACTCACAGGAATAAAATATAAGTATGTGGTCGATAATATTAAAATATATTTATTTTATTGGCACATCAACAAAACTGGTGTTAAAAAATAAACATAGATTATGTAGCGCAGTATGAAATTACTACAAACTTCTTATTGTAACAAGCCTTTGGGGCATTTATTTTCACTAAATTGCTTTATTATTGACTTGAAATTAGTGTTCTTCAGGAGAACATTTTCCACATACATGAGTGAAAGCCAGTTCAAACTATGCTGCCCCATTGTGCTTTGAAGCTCATAAAAAAAAAAAAAAACAGTTTCAGTCTTGACAGAGACGGGTTTCCTGTCCAGACGGTTACCATCATGGACGTGAATACTCTTGAGTGCAGTTTCAACATTCAGGAAACCAGATTTTTAATTGTCCAGCATTGTGCCCGCAGTGTGGATATCTGACCAAACATGTGAGGCAGCCCATCTGACGATCTCACCTGACCATTTGACACCGAACATAAGGAAGAAGAAGAAGAAGAAACTGTCCAAAAAAATCATGTAAGTGCAGGAAAAGTATCACAATTTTCGGCTAACCTCCGAATAATGGGCACAAAAGATGGCGGCCGCAAAAACATCCTAACATAGCCTCAGTCACGTGTCAATTGCGCACTTCCGGCGACTTAGTTTGCGGTTTTCCGGCGACCACCGTCAAGAGTCCCACACGCAGCTCGTGGATTGGGGCTAAACTAAATGGCTAGGACTCACGAGTAGCAGCTTCCGCATCTTCTGCAGCTTTGCTCGTGAGTCCTAGCCATCTAGTTTAGCCCCAATCCACTCAGCGTTAGCGGCGTGGACCTGACTTTCGCGGCGGCCGGGTGACGAACTCCTTGTGGTCCGGGTTCACTCCCGGGGGTAGGCAGAAAAGCCACATTTCTCCCAGATTAACGGTACCTATAATAGAATCAAGGCCGAAGGGTTGCGATATCCATAGTACCGAGCCAAAGGGTTTACAACTCATGGTTTCTGGATACGTTAAAAAAAAAAAAAAAAAAAGCGGCGTGGGGGACTCTAGGCGGTGGCGGTAGTCGCCGGAAAACCGCAAATTAAGTCGAAGAAAGTGCGCATCTGACACGTGACTGAGGCCCTGTTTTTTGGCCGCCAACTTTTGTGCCCGTTATTTGGAGGATAGCATAATTTTCAATAAGAGCCATGCAGTACTTTACTTTAGGTACTCACACACACACACACTTTAGTGGGGCCCCCAGGTTTAGTGTTTAGCGTACGATGTGTTAAGGCGGCCCTGCCATATCTATTTATATCTGGCTGACATCGTGTGACGTGTCCACAAGATGGTTCTTTCTTTACGGCTGCCCTGGTTAAAACAAGCAGTCATGTTTGATCGTAGTTGAAACTGTACTTCAGTTATAAAGTATTTACTTATTTGCTTTATTTAGGTAATTGTTACGGCACACACTGTTGCCATAATGAGATATTTTTAGATGTCACATGACAAATTGTCACCTAATGTAATCACGTGACCTCATTCACGTGACTTGGTGTATGCTGAAAATGGCGACTATTAGTACTAGCGGACGATTGTTCATAACTCTTCTTTATGGTTCAGTAATACGGCAGACCATATGCTTTGACCCGACATGGAGCTCTCTTGATTCCAGGCCGCTCCCAACTTGGTACGATGAAGCTAAGCTAGGAATATTCATTCACTGGGGCGTGTTTTCTGTGCCAAGTTTTTATTCAGAATGGTTTTGGTGGCTTTGGCAGGACCGGCACGATCCCGAAGTTAATGAATTCATAGCGGCAAATTACAGACCAGATTTTACATACGCTGACTTTGCTAAGGATTTCACTGCTGAATTTTTCAATGCAACAGAATGGGTACAACTGTTCCAAAGTTCAGGGGCAAGGTATGACAGTTTATTATTTAATTTATAGATTTTGCGGCTCTCCTTGCAGTACCGGACGAGGGCTGGACGGCTTAGTTCAGTTTGGTGGGAGTTTTCTCCCTTGGCCGCACTGGAAACAGTGAGCGGAAAAGTCACGAATCAAATAAGACAGTGAGGTCGATATCAGGGCTGCCAATGCTTGGTTGTGTCCCCAAGATCTTTTTTTTTTTTTTAAAGTTGAGGGGAAATCTGTTTTTTTTTTGGGCCGATCTGTATGCTTTAATGACCGATAAATTCGTGTGGTAGGGTTAGGGGTAGGGTTAGGGTTGGGGGTAAGGTTGGGGTTAGGGTTAGCATTAGATGTGACAATTTTGACGCAGGAGTTCGCTATAACCGCGAATCAGTCACACACCCAATCAGTCGACGGACTGTGGATGCTACGGACAATTCGCCACTGATTGGGCACCAGCCGCACGCTATTGCCGTCATATTTGGCAGACTGTCAGTGGCGCCACTCCAACAAGCATCAGATTGTCGGCCAGTATTTGGAACTCCTACGTCAAAATTTTCACTTCTAACCCTAACCCCTAACTCTACCCCTAACCCCTAAACCAAACCGAAACCCTATGCAACCCTACACGCAACAGTATGATGACTACGCAACCATTCACGCAACCGTAGGATGACAATGCAACCCTACACGCAACCGTATGATGATAGGTAAGTATGTCATTTGTTTCGTGACTTTTCCGCTCACTGTTTCCAGTGAGAGAACTCCCACGAAACCAAACTATGCCGTCCAGCCCTCGTCCGGTACTGCAAAGAGAGCCGATTTTGCTTTGCTTTTGACTATCTAAGTTCGGCACTGCTTGCAACAGCGACACTACTAGAAGGCGCAACAGCAAAATCGGTTGTTGTTTACAACACACTTTTAAAAACCATATTGGAGGGAAAGGTTGGCAGCAGAAGACTGGAGAGCAAAAGGTAGGCAACGATACAAGTGGGAGGACAACATCGGGAGATGGACGGGCAGCAGTCTGAGAGAGCGTGTTGGCGTTGGTCATGGAGATCCACTGTAGCCAACCTTCATTGTAAAGATGGCACCTGATGGAAGGATGACAATTTATTGTAATTGTATTGTTTGTGTAAGTTCACATAATAATATTGTCATATTTAATTTTGTCTGAGATTAGGGTTAGCCCTAACTTTAACCCTAACTCTAATCTCAGACAATATTAAATATGAAAGAATATGGCTCTCTTCCGAACTTCTACCCCCGCATTATGGTGGCCTTAAATATCCGGGGCTCAGTCCAATGAAAAATATGCGAACTTCCGGCGACGAACAAATCGTGGCAAAACTAGGATCGGTTCCGTATAGCGAAACAAATACTCTAACAGGTTCTTAGCGATATATTAATTGCGTATCTGTTTCTGTGACTATGCCTCACCGCCGACCGTTTCCACCGTGCCGCTACGCGCGGCGCAGATGGGGGCTAAACTAGATGGCTGAAACTAGCAACACTCAGGTTCTGGAGCAGGACTGCAGTTCAGTAGTGGACGAGCAACCAGAACCTTCCGCCAGAGTTTACAGCTGGTAAACGCGAAGAAGAAGAAGATTAATATGAAAAAATATATATATATTTATAAAATATTGTTGATTGTCATTCACTTGGTTTCCACTATGGTTGAAACTTTTAAAAAGATAAAATTTGTCTACAGATATCTTGTATTTGTCAGCAAACATCATGAAGGTTTCACCAACTGGCCTTCTAAATACTCATTTAATTGGAACTCATTAGCTGTTGGTCCAAACCGAGATATTGTTGGTAAGGATACTGCACTGAGTCCGCCTCACTGCTTTATATCCTAGCTCACCGTCCATTGTGGGTGATGAGAGAGTACAAATAAATATCAGTACTCAGGTGAACAAACACACCTGGCAGTTGTCCATTAGAAGACTCAGTAGTTCTTGACAGTATTTATTTGATGCACATCAACAGCCTCTGTACAGTCCCCAAGCAACATGGAACGTTTACAGTTCTAACTGTCACATTTTTTTAACTAAACATGATATACTTGCAGTATTCTTGATTCACATTCAAACCCTTGTCCTTTCATGCAAGTTGAAACACATCATAATAATGGCATCTGACAATTCCTGGGGACTATGGAGATGTGCCCTGGCGTTAGGAACATCCTCTACTGCGACAATAAAGTCTGATGCGGGAGCTGCAGTCTCTGCCACATAGGATACACAAAAACGTAGATTCTCCCTCGCTGTGAGGGCGAAGTTCTCTATGGCATTTTCTCTCTATAGCTCACTGCATTTGGTTTTTTTACACAATGTGACAATCCATCTTTTACTTTCTGTTGCCATAAACTGAAACACATCAGCTGGCTGGTTTACACACACACAACTCTTGCCATCATCACTTCTCTAGCTTTCAGTGCAGTTTTTGTCACCACAAACATATACAGGGCAGACATGTCACTGAAAGCCTACTCAATGAAAAGCCTCTTTTGCTTTGCTTTAATTAAGTTCCCTGTTCCATGCCTCCAGGCGTACTGGGAATATAGGGCTATCCCTATGTTTTTATAGACCAGTTGGCAACTGATCAGCATGGTCAGCATCATGCCGGATTCCCCTATCTCAGCCAATGATAATTTAAGCTTTAATATCATTTATTTTCATAAGGGTTTCCCAACCTTTAGCAGTAATCCCTGTATTCTCCTCATTACACATTTTCTCATCCACCAAAAAATTAAAAACAAAAGTTTAAGTATGTTTTCAATGTATATCTCAGAATAATGGTTAAATAATGTAATGATTTGCATGTTTTGCCAGTTGTATAGTTTCTACCTCTTGATTAAAGCTTGAATTTAATTAAGTTAATATGTGATTTCAGGCAAACTTCCTCGGTGGTATTTCACCTTAATAAACATTAGCTTGATGAGTTCATCACCCTGGGTACCACTAATTTGATAAGAAAGTAGAAAAAGTGGCTCTGCAAACATCTTTACCTAGCTATAAAGTATATAATAAACAGAACAACACCCCAGGCACCCCTAATTTTGTGTGGAAGTCAAAATACTTGGCTCTGCAATCACATGACTCTATAAAGTCCTTTCCTTACCTTATCCACCCCCAGGAAACCCAACTGGTGACAGTGTGCATTTTATGTCACCTTATTCTTAGGGAACTTGCTTGTACCCAGTTGCCACAACTACCATCATGGCTTGTACAACATTAACCTGTTTTGAATAATACTTTCTCCCAGTGTGTCTGCTTACAGGTCAAATTGTCTTGATAACCAAGTCTCTTTACTAAATTATAATGTTATAATCAATTTCAAAATAAAATTGTTTCCAACTTCTTATTGTATATTAATTATAACAGTACTTTCAATGTCAGTGTCCAACTTGTAATTGTCATGCCATGCATGTCACAACAACACTAAAGTCAGTTATTACAATACAAAGAAAAGTTGGTTCATTCAGTTTATATTCACATGTTAGTACAGTCAGTATGTCAATTTTATCCTTTTTTTACAGTGTTGTATTGAATGATTATGTCTTCTAACTTTTTGACGACATTTTCCTAAATTCTGTTTTTTTGCAACATTATATTTATAGCGGTGACATGATGTTTTGTAAATGATTTTCAGATTTCCTTATATGTTATGTTTTTTATTTAAATTATGATACTAATAATGTGCATCTATAGTTAATAACTTTGTTAAGCCAGATTACTTGTAAGTATAGTAAATTCTTTCTCCCAAAATATCTTTCTCTGAAACATTTCTAACAGTACAAGTATGCTTGAGAGTCGCTGTGGTGTTGCGGTCAGACTCTTGCCTGCGGATCGGAAGATCTTGGGTTCAGTTGCTGACAAAGTGAGACTTTCTTCAGAATTGACCTTGATTCCCAGGTCGACCCAGCGTTGAATGGGTACCAGGTACAAGAGCTGGGAAGTAAAGGCTACTGGCCTGATGCTGACCACATCAAAAAAATGTTGAAACTCCCTCCCTAGAAGGCAGATTTTCTCTCTGGCATCTTCTCTCTTTAGCTCACTGAGTTTGGTTTCTTACAAAATGCAACAATCTGTCTTTCACTTTCTGTCGTCCTAAACTGAAACCCATTAGCTGGCTGGTTTACACACACACACTCACACACACTCACACATTTATGTGACAAATATATCACACAAAGTCTGTTCATCAAAAAACCCTTTGGTCTCTTTTGCTTTGCTTCTATACCTCATGTAAACACACAAGGTGTACACTTAAACAATATTCACCCCTTCATATCATTTTCGGTTATCTATCACTATCATCTCTGACTATTGACCTGTGATCATATCCTATTTTTATTTTGGATTTTTCTATCTTTCAACCAACGAGAATTTGAACCCTGCCATTATTTATTACTTTATGCTTTTCCTAATATTAGCAGTTATCCCTATGTTCACCTCATTACATATACTGTTACATTATTCCCATAGAAGAAGATAGCAATATATAGGTTTTAACATTAGCATCATATTTTTACACTCGCCTGCGGATTGGAAGGTAGTGGGTTCAGATCCTGACAGTACCGCACTTGTTTCAAAAATGACCTTGGCTCCCAGGTCAACCCAGCCTTCATTGAAGACCTGGGATGTAATTGCGGCCGGCTTGATGTTGATCACAGAGTGCTGATTGATCTGTAAAGTATAGTCTAGCCCTATTTGCCCAGTACTCTTGAAGGCGTGGAAAGGATCCTTTACTCTACGTTTATTATCACTTATTCAAAGCTCAAATAAGAGGACATAAAACTCGTAGTTTAGTTTATTTATTTGACCTCACTTAATCTATTCTATTGATAATTAAATTGAGGAATAAATTGAAATATGTTTTCTACTGATCTAGTCAGGAGTGGGAGCTGTGGTAAAATTTTGACTAAACACTTGCCCTCCAGTCTCAGGGTCTTGGGTTTGAATCCAGATCAATGCAGATTTCTCTTTTCTAATTGACCCAAGTGTGGCCAAGTCTAAAATGGGCACCAAGAAATATCTTAGGAGGTAAAGGTGGCTGTCATGATGTTGACCATGTCACTGGCTGGTTTATTACAAATATGAGTTTAACATCATATACCTGATGCATCAAAGCTGTGAATTCCCATGTGGGTTCCAGGGCTCCGTTGTGGGCGAAAGCAAGAGTAGACCCACTGCCTCCCCAACAAGCATGTCATAAGAGTCAACTGATTGGGGGTTCCCCCTCCTCCTCCGGGGCTAGTGCTTGATCTTCTTCTTCTTCTTCGCGTTCACCGGCTGTAAACTCCGGTGAAAAGTTCTGGTTGTTCGTCCACTTCTGGACTGCAGTCCTGTTCCAGAACCTGAGTGTTGCGTGTGCATCCGTTTGACAGATCTGTATGCAGACTGTTGGTTCCTTGCCTCTCAGGCAGATGCACTCCGACTTCGAAGAAAGCTCCCAATTAGTCGACTCTTACGACATGCTTTTAATTAGGCAGTGGGTCTATTCTTGTTTTTCCCATAGTAGGGCCCCAGAACCCACACGGGGAACTGCTTGATTATTTGACAACCTGTGCAATCTCAAGAGTCACATCCTAGATGTCAACCCAACAGGGCACAACCTAGATACAATGTTTAGCCTTTAAAGAAATTATAAACAAGTTACTGTTGAGAGCCTCAGGTAAAGGATCTTATATATATATATACACACACACACACACACACATATATATGTGTTTGTATGTTTATATGTATAATATTTATGTGTAAATTATCTATATAGTGTATATATGTATGTATATATAGTGTAAAAAGTAAAGGATCTTTTCCACACCTTTAGGTGTATTGGGCATATAGGGCAAGACCTATATTTTTATAGACAATCGGCGCTTTATGGGTGATGTGGTCGGCATCATGTGGCCACCTTTACTTCCCAGGACTGCACATGGTGCCTACTTAAGGCTGGCTCGAGCTGGGAGTCAACGTTTTTTTAATAGTAATCGGGTTCTGTCAGGACCCGAACACACAATCTTTTGATCTGCAGGCGGGCGTCTAGCTGCCAACGACATGGCGCCTCCCCTATATATAGCATATATATGTATATATAGTTTATATATGTATATATGTGTGTATGTATATATATCTATATATATGTGTGTGTGCATGTATGTATATATATATATGTATGTATGTATATATATATATATATAAAATATATATATATCTGTATGTATATATATGCAAATATATATTCAGTATATGCTGAGATTAGGCGTTCGACATTTAAAATAAAGTGCTGCTTATTCATTAAAGGACATTACAGAGCCAACCCTAGCATTCTTTAGCTGTTCGTAATTTCACTAGGCACTTCTGTGTTCCATAGTTCCATTGCTTTTTGAAGGATCGGCATTTGATACCACTGTCAAAACTAAAACAAGGTGGTCTGTTGCCAAATTGCCCACAGCTGGGATTGAACCAGTCACCTTATACAGCACATTTGCAATGCCCAAGCCACAAATGCAGACAGGGTATCACAAGGCTCAACTGAAAAAGTTACACTGAAAACAACATCCATATGAAACAAATTATGACAGTTTCAACTCAGTATATACAGTATGTTCCAATATATTGGACACATTCTGGAGGAGAAGTAACAAGTGAACCATTAACTTAAGTGACTGTGGTAAGAATATAAGAAGCCCAAATGAAACCCTAAGACAGGTGTTGCTAAGAGAGGCCAATAGTGCTAGACTAAATTTCATCCATGATATTGAAGCAACAGTGCAGGATAGAACAGATTAGATGAATAAACTCCCAGATCTGTGTGACATGTAATGACTCAAAAGGATGATGATAATACTGATGACATGCAATAAAGGAAAATTAACAATGTATTTCTAGGTGAACTAATGAACGCCACAAGAAGACATTCAGATCTGAGGTTTGGGCTGTACCACTCCATGTTTGAATGGTTCCACCCGCTGTACCTTGCTGACAAGCAGTCTGGATTTGTGACACAAGATTTTGTCAATGTAAGGTTTTATTTTTCTTTCTTTAATTAATTAATGTATGTTTGTTTTATTTTTACTTTTATTTGTCAGTATGAAAGTAGCCATCAACCACTGGTGGATAAGATGCACAGTGAGAAAACTTCTTAATAGTATAGCTAACTCCTTGTACTGGAACCCACAGGAGCAAATAAATTAAATGAGACCAGAAAACACAGAGAGAACATTTGATACAGAGGTAAATACACTAGAGAGGATATTGAAATGGCAACGGATAGAAAGGGTTAGCATTAGTTGTATGAGAGCCTGTGCAAAAGAAGAGAAGAAGTTTACCTAGAACTATAAATTGTGCACGCTGTGGGATTGTCAGACAAAAGCAACAAATAAAAGGAAGGGACCCTTTTCCACGCCTTCAGGCGTATAGGGCATATAGGGCAAGACCTATATTTTTATAATGTCACAAGATCGGCACAAGATGGGTGATGTGGTGAGCATCACGATGGCCACCTTTACTTCCCGGGACTGCACCCGGTACCTACTCGAGGCTGGGTCGACCTGGGAGTCAGGTCATTTTTAGATAAAAAAATGGCTTCTCCAGGGAGCAAGCCCGCAACCTTCCGATGCGCACGCAAGCGTCTAGCTGCTACTCCACGGCGACTCCCAGAAATGGACAAATATTCCTCATAATTATGGCAATATAAAGCAGTATACACATCTCTGTCGGCTCTGTGGCTAAGTCGATGCGAACACTTCGCTTCGTAATGCCGGGATGCCAGGTTCTATCCCAGCTGCGGGCAATGCGCCTTGCGTTGGTTTCGACAGTGGTATCAAGAAAGCCGACCGTCCAGAAAGCAATGGCAAACTACTGGACGTAAATTTGCCTAGAGAAACCACACAACAGCCAGGGGCTGTTAGGGTTGGTTCTGCAACGTCCTCTAGAGGATACGCAACAACCTTTTTATACACATCTCTAATACAGAGAGATGCTTAGTAAAGAACTGATGACTTTGTTCAGGTGGAGTCTATGGTTAAGGTCTGTCTTGATGGAGCTAAGTCCATCACCAGTCCCTAGTCCTTCAAGATGCACACCTGTGTTAGTGTAACTAGCTAATATTTTGATTATTTGTTTTCCCCAGCAAAAAACATTACCTGAACTCTACGAGCTAGTGAACACTTACACGCCTGATATTGTCTTTTCTGATGGGGACTGGGAAGCTCCTGATACTTACTGGAAATCAAAAGAGTTCTTGGCTTGGTTGTACACAGACAGGTAAATGTTAGACTATGTCAGACCTGTGATTATAATGAAGAGTTAGTGTCACTGCTCTTGGTATGTGTCATCTTTCTCAGCAGGTCAAAGGGCAAAGATAAGCTTGTTGCTCTTATATACTTGATAGCTTCACTTTGCCGCTACCCTCTGTCACAGTTTACTTACTTACTTAGTCGCTCCTCTTCTACCTTGGGGTGTAGAGGTTTGCCAGAGAGATCCCCCTCCGTCACAGCATTTAGCTAATTCAAGACTAATTTCCCCATTCCAATAGCCATGATCAAGAAGAGTCAGATGTGTTATCTGTTATCCACAGGATATCCTTTGCATTACCCCAGTGATACCTTTAATGTCAGAATATAATCTTTCCCATTCTTGTTTGAGAATGGGAAAAAATGGCTTAACTTATGCTAGAGCTTTCTGAACTTTCTTAATTCCTTTTTAGGACTGATATCTGGAAGAAGAAAAAAGCAAAGGAGAGGGGAAAAAAAAAGAGCTTGACTTTACAGTGATAATATATTTGCAGAGTGCATTATTGAATATACAGTAAGACATGGACAGTATCATATCTCTCTCTGTTACTTCTGATCACATTTCCTTTTATAAATTCTGGGATTAGTTAACCAAGGAGACTTCTTCTTACAGTATGTGACTTTGGTATTCATGTCTACTCTCCTGTACTTTCTGTTAATTCTGATACAGATGATCTTCCTTGCCATGATGTTAAACTGTCCAGCCTCTACTGTCTCAGTCTCTCTCTATCTCTTTTCCCCCTTCAACTCTCCCACCATCACAATGTACTGCAGCTGTCTCCTTCTCATGACATGACCAAAGAATGTTGATTGTCTCCTTCTGATGTAGGCAGTCAGTTCTCTTTGTGAGTCACTTTCTTTCAAAACATCTTTACGCTCTTTTTATTTGTCCAGGGTTTTCTCATCCTTGGTCCTATCTTGGCTAGGTTATACACAGACAGGTAAATTTTAGACTGTATCAGACCTTTGATTGTAATGAAGAATCAGAGTCACTGCTCTTAGGATATAAGTCATCTTTCGCAGCAGGTCAAAGGGCACAGATAAGCTTATTCCTCTTACATATTGCACTGGATATCCTGTGGATAATAGATAACACATCTGACTGTTCTTGATCAGGGCTACTGATAACACATCTGACTGTTCTTGATTATGGCTACTGATAACACATCTGACTGTTTTTGATCATGGCTACTGATAACACATCTGACTGTTCTTGATCATGGCTACTGATAACACATCTGAGTGTTCTTGATCATGGCTAAAGATAACACATCTGACTGTTCTTGATCATGGCTACTGATAACACATCTGACTGTTCTTGATCATGGCTACTGCAATGGGAAAATGAGCCTTGAATTAGTTACCTCTGCTGGAACAGAGGGTAGCAGCTAAGTAAAGCTATCACATCTCCGCTGCTTCCAAACAGTTTTTCACTAATCGTCCAACAGTCCATGATTTAGCATAGTCGTCCCAAGTGGGGTGCAATTTTTCGTTATTTGAAGCCCCACCCTAGCCAGGGGTTCTGAATATAGTCGGGCCATTAATATGGCCTAACCGCTTAACGTGGTTTCTGGGACCTCTCCATGGGTGATCCTCATCTGTGTGGCTGTACTTTGTGTCACCTGGTGTCTAAAGCTTTGTGTGATGTCCTGGTGGGGTACAACTTAGAATGGAAAAGAAACAAAAATGCCTCAGTGGGGGATTTGAATCTATGATCATATGATCACTAGGCCAGAAGTCATGTGCTAGCCAAATTATTTGTATTTTTAAATACATGTATAATATATTTGTCAGTAATAAATAATAATCTTGATGAGTAGAACCATTTTCTTCATGATTTCTAGCCCAGTTAAAGACACAGTGGTTGCCAATGACAGGTGGGGTACAAACATCTCATGCCATCATGGTGGTGTGTACACATGTGGAGATAGGTACAACCCAGGTCAGTCATACTGTAGTTTTAATGTCTTAAATGACTGAATAAAAAGATGAATTCACACACTATAGATTATATTTCTTTTTTTTTAATGTCATGTCTAAAGAATGTGTGTAAACCTCAAAGCATCAGAGATTTAAAAAAAGTTAAGGTCCCTTTTCCACTCCTTTAGGTGTATAGGGCATATAGGGCTAGTCCTATATTTTTATAGACCAATCAGCACAAGATGGGTGATGTGGTGAGCATCAGAGATTAGAAGCAAAACATCAGATCTTGGCGACCAAGAGTTAACTGAAGCGATAACATCTAGCAAGTAATTGAGGGATTTAAGTCTAAGCTTGAAACAAGCCAAACACAAATCCCCTGACAGCTGGGGATTTCTGTATATAAGATCCCAGTGTAGAAGAGTAACATTAGAGTAAAGTGAAGTTATTACACTTTTCATGATTATAAGCTGATATAGTTAATGTCATGGGAAAGTTATGGTAGCTAGGGGCTTTTCTGCCAGTTTGAAGGTCTTTGGTTCCACATCAAGGCTGACTTTTATTATGGTCAAGGAAATAAAGGCAGTCAGTGTTGTGTTGACCACATCACCCATTGAATGCCAGTGGTGTAGAAAAACATGACCTTAACACTATGTGCCCGACTCTCCAATGGTATGAAAGGAGTCCATTCTGTATATAGTATCATGTTTAAAGTGTAGGTCACTGAAAGGAAAAATGACCAATAGTTTCAAAAGAGTAAGAACAGTGTGTGTGCAGGAATACATCTGGGTGATTGAAATCTTATTGACTCAGGTATGCCACTTCCAAAACTAAAAATTCATTCTGTTTTTTTTTTGGTTCTTTTCCACAAAGGCTGTTATAATGGTTATTGAGGCTTGGTAGGAATAATTCAGTTAAATTATTTTGGCCATTTGTTCCCTTTATCCTTGTCTTTAGTGTGTACCCTTTTGATCAGTTTCACTTGTAAAGTTAACGTTGCGTTCAAGAGGACTGACTTCATTGCTCAGTCTCTCTTCAAAGAATAGCTAGTCGCCTGCTGAGAGCATTGCACAAAGCACAAACTCCATAGCTCCAGTGAGGATTGCCAGAGGTCTGCATAAAATAGGCCATAAAACAAATCCTTGATCTTCAGAGTTTGAGTTAAGCGGCATGACCACTTCGCCATGAAGACTTGATTGACAAACAAAATAAAATATTTTTTGGGTGCTTGGGATTGAACTTGTACCACTGGGTGGCTAATTGTTACTGTTGTATGTTTTTATGAAAGAAAGTTTTTTATTTGACCATAGGATGTTGTGACTAAAAAGGAATATATTCTCTTATTATCACTAGTTGTTTGAATTGTTCACAGCCTCACTTCTTTTATCTAGCAGCAAAAATAGTACAGCCCCTGGTCAGCTATATTGGATTAGTGGTTGATACATCACCAGTATGCTGTTGGAACCCATACAAGAAGCTAAGAATATAGCACTTGAATCTACCATGTATGCCATGACTAAGGAGGAATACCGTGAGACTGGCTGTCTCGTTTATTAGAAAGTGTTAGCTGCAGTATCAACCAGTCATGATAGTTATGTATGGAGGATCAGCTGGCTGAGTGATTACAACACTGGGTTTCCATGCAGGAGTCTTTGGTTCAAATTCTCAGCTAGATGGTGGACGTTTAAAAAAATAAAAATCCTAACCTGCACAGTTCCAGCACTAGCCATGCGGCCCTACAACCTCGGGCTCAAGATCCCCTGTCCAACACTACGGTGAAGACCTGCACATACAGGCAGTAACAAAAGCAAGGACAGCAAATAAAAAAAAAACTTGTCAGATTAGAGAGATTTAAGGCATAAAAGGCTACAAGGCATAAATCAAAAGAACAAGATTGAAAAATACCATCAGGAAAACTCTACAACAGTACGGTGTATCTATGGCCGAGGTGGCTAGGAAAGCAAAAAGCAGAAAAAGTCAGCACGGAATCAATTCCTAATTATACACAGAAACAGCAAATCAAATCGTTTGCCCTGTGATGATATACCATACAAGGCATACACTAAAAGAGGAGAAAGACATAGATCACGAGGTAGGCCAAGAACCAAATAAAAAGATACCAACAGGGAAATGCTACAGTGGTTTTAATGTGTCTGCGGTCATGGTAACCAGAAGAGCAAGAAGCGGAGTGTATAGCTCCCTCAACGCTAAAGCGTTAAAAGAGGAAGCGAAGAAGAAGAAAAAAAAGAAGAATAACAGTATTGATGAACAAGTTTGCAAAGGCGTCTAGCGTGATTTGAGGGCCTGTGCACCTTCTTTTTTCTCTTTGGTTCCTTTTGCATATTTTAAAAATGTTATGAATAATAGAAATTACAATTACAATTTTAAAAAAAATAGTGCACCACTTGTGTCTTCATTTTAGAGAATACCAGCTAGTATAAATCTTCTTCTTTTTTTTCACGCTCTCTGGTTGTAATCTCTGGCAGATAATTCTGGTTATTTGTCCACCTGTGGACTTTGGTCTTGTTCCAGAACTTGAGTGTTACGTGCACATCTGTTTTACAGATCTGACAAGTCTGTATGCAGATTGTTGGTTTCTTACCTCTAAGGCACATGCATTCCAACTGTGAAGGAAACCACCAATTAGTCAACTCATACAACATGCTTGATAAGGCAGTGGGTCTCTTCCTGTTTTCCCCCAATTGGGCCCCAGAACCCACACAAAAAAGCTTTTATTAATGATAAAAAAGGTAATTTTAGCAAAGAATTTGCTTATTACATAAATTGTTTATTAGTTATTTGTAAATGTTTGTTACAGGAGTTCTTCAGAAGCATAAGTGGGTCAATGCCATGACTATAGATAAGCACTCATGGGGTTTCAGAAGGAATGCTCGCTTGTCTGACTATCTGACCATTGAAGAGCTGTTGCAGACTTTTATCATTACTGTCAGGTATGTTTGTGTGTTTGTGGATGTCTGCTACAAGTGTCATTGTTACTCATCGATATATCTGCAAGTATTTTACTGCAGACATTTTTTATTATTTTCATGTTATGTTACTGTAGACTACATTATTACAGACTGACATTTTAAGCCAAACTTTTATTGTTACGGATTACTGAAAACATGAACTAAATAAATTGTCAGATCTCTACAGTGGATGTTGGCTGCAGTGTACCTACTGCTAACTATAGGAATATTTTGTGATAAGGCCGAAATATCTATTCACTAGCAACTCTCATACAACTGCCTGGAAGCCACGAGAACTATCTGTATCTAAACCACTCACTGCGGGAATTAAACCCTGATAAAAACAGCAAAGATTACATTGTGAAAACGTTTTACTTACCTCTAAGCTGCAGAGCCCCCACCCACACACACGCATGTGCGTTTATTAATCAAAGAGAAGACAAAGTGATATATTAAAAGATTGCTAGGTCACAAAGCTTAAGATATGGCAAGAGCACAGACCTCATCTGAGACTGGAGATCATTTGAGATGGTCAACTAAACAACTTATAGTCCCAATTTGGAAAAGAAAAGGCAATAAGCAAGATCGTAACAATTACAGAGGCATCTCCCTTCTAAGCCACGTAGGAAAAATGTTTGCCAAAATTCTGGAACAACGAATTAGATCCGTTGTAGAACCGATCCTGAGCCCATCACAGGTCGGATTTAGGAAAGGAAGAGGGTGTACTGACGCTATTTTTGCTTTAAGACAAGTTAGCGAAAAGACAATAGAACACAGACATCAAATGAACATCGCTTTCATAGATCAAGAAAAAGCTTTCGATAGAGCAAACAGAAATTTATTATGGAAAGTTCTTGAAAACTACGGTATAAATGAAACAATTTCAGATTGTGTTAGGGCTATTTATAGACAAAGTGAAAGCGCCATTAGAACAAGAGCTGGCATCACAGACTGGTTCCCAGTAACATCAGGAGTAAGACAATGTTGTGTATTATCACCTTTACTTTTCATAATATTTATGGACAATGTTAATAAAATATACATAACACCAACAGATGTCGATAAACAGGAGGACTTCAATGAGCTGCTCTTTGCCGACAATCAATGCATATTTCACAGTGATAGTAAACAGCTGCAAGACCACATAAACCTACTACACGACAGTTGCCTCAAGCATCATATGAAGATCAATACTGAAAAGACAGAAGTCATGAGCATAAGTAGAGAGCAACAGACCATCGACATAAAGATTCTAGATCACAGCCTAAAACAAGTGCAAGAATTTAAATACTTGGGAAGTATCTTTACATCCAATGGTAAAATAGACAGAGAGATCGAAGCAAGAATCCAACAAGCCAACAATGTCGCATACCAGCTTGCCCCAATTTTAAAACACCCTGCTGTCCCAGCTGAGATAAAAAGACAATTATAAATACAATCTTTATACCGACATTAGGTTATCAATGTCAGACTTGGACATTAACAAAAGAACATGAGAGAAGACTAACCACCTGTGAAATGAGATGTTTGAGAATGGCTGCGAATAAAACCAGAAGAGATCGAGTGAGAAACGATGTGATTACAAGAACTATTGGAACCATACCCATCGTTAAATTTATTGAGAAGCAAAGAATGAAATGGTTTGGTCACCTAATGAGAATGGAACCAACGATGCCAGCATCAAGAGCATACAACATGAAAATCGAAACACCAAGAGGCAGGGGAAGACCAAGAAGAAGATGGATTGAAGGAGTCACGGACAACTTGAGACTTCATAACATCATGGCATATGAAGCGACTGAGCGCGCCCTGGCTCGGTTGCCGATCATCTGATAGACTGCGACGCCTAGCGGCACAAGCAGATTTTGACAAAAAGAAAAAGAAGAAAGAAACTAAACAACCTGTGCTGATTGACATGTCACATAATGACAACTCCAGATGTGGTGTGTGTGTACAAAACTGATATCCTGGGATGTTTCCTGATCACCCTTTTTGTCTGCAACTTTTGATTGATTGATCATTAGGACTCTTTTCCACACCTTCAGGTTTATTCCGCATATAGGGCTAGGCCTATATTTTGTAGACCAATCAGCACTTGGTAGGGGATGTGGTCAGCATCACGCCAGCCACCTTTTTTTCCCAGGACTTTGCCTGCTACCCATCTAAAGCTGGGTCGGCCTGAAAGCCAAGGTCATTTTTGGAAAACGTCCAGCTGCATCAGGACCTGAATCCACGACCTTTGAATCAACAGGTGAGCGCCTAGCTATAGCGGCTCTCTGATTGATTGATAGTTCAACTCCCATAGATTGTAAACTGACTGATATTATTCTTATACTCCTCTCTTTTAAAACCGGATTGATAGTTTGACTTAAACTTGTAAATGTAATGATTACGCAAGTATGGGGAAACCCGATTGCTGTGAATTTGAAATCTCGACCGAGGCTAAGACTTGAACTTGTATGTGTTGTAACCTTGCTGAACATTTGAACACAAATCCTTGTGTCTGCTGCCACTGATTGTTTTTTTTTTTCAATATGGAGTCTTCGTGCTGTGTGGTTTTCGATTGCACAGAAACAGACTTTTTATGCCTGACCATTTGGTGTGTAGTTGAAACCGCAGCTAACTGGCTTGACTAGCATATGCGATATTTTCGGTAAAACTGTTTTAACAGCATATTGTACCATTGCTTATGTCTGTCGGTGGTTACCACACAAACAGGTTTAAGTCAGATTATCAATGAGGTTATAAAAGACAGGAGTATATAAGAGAAATATCAATCAGTTTACAGTCTATGTCAGTTAAAATGAAACTTTCAATCAGTCAATCGAGGAGTGGCTGGCTGAGCAGTTACAATGTCGGGCTCCCATGTGGTAGACATGTGTTCAACCCCCGGTAAGATGGTTGAGTTTTTCTGTCAGGGGCAGAGTTAAACATCCTAACCTGCACAGTCCATGGTGACAGCACTAGCCAGGCAGCCCTGAATCCTCAGGTGCAAGGCCTGCCTGTATGCACTGCCCTAGAAAGTGGTGAAACAGACAATAGTGACAGTTTCAGCTGATGTCATTCAGAAGAAAGTTTCTTGGCTGATAATTTAAGGCTGCCTGCCAAAAGATTAAAAGAGTCATCATATAATGTAGGGGATAGAATGTTTGTTCACCTGTAATATCTAGAAATTGATATAAATAAAAAAAACTTATCAAGGGTTAGAATCTGTAATAATAATCTTTGATATTAGTATAACCTTTGACCACCCAATCATCATCATTTGCTATAATCATATGAATTGTAATGATTAAGTTGATTGTAATATCTGCAGCTGTGGAGGTAACATGCTAATGAATGTTGGACCTCCCAGCCATGGGCACATCACTCCAATTTATGAGGAACGTTTCCGGCAGCTGGGGTCATGGCTAAAGGTCAATGGAGAAGGCATTTACAGTTCTAAGCCCTGGACTTATCAAAACGATACTCTGACTAAAGGTGTTTGGTACGTACCGCGTTACAGCTTGAAACACTGTATAATTATGTTTGTTATTCAGCTACAAAATAAAGATCATTTGCTAGATTCTTTGAGTAACTGAAAGTCTGTTAAACAAATTTACAACAACCTTTTCAGTGTCTTCTAGTTCCCATATTTGTAGAGACTTGCCATTTGGATAATCTGATGATTATCAGTGCTGGCCGCCTTTACTTTCCAGAATACTTCCTGGTATCCATTTTATATGTGTCAGCATTGGAGTCTAGTCACATTATTAAAACCACCTTAATGGAGATTTGGATATATGACCACCTGACAAATGTGTTAGCCACTATTCTACCACCGTTGCTTGCTGGAAATGACATTAGTTAAAAGACTGACAACTGTTAAAGGTAAAAAAAAAAGTAAACTCAGGAGACGTGAACCAGCATCATTGCACACGGTTATAAACCATAAGTGCTCTGCCACCAGTACAGACAGCTGATAAGAAACAGTCCGCCTGTGTCGCCATCCGCACGCAACTCCGTAGCTACAAAGATGTTCCTCCATTTACCCCAGAGTAATAACTCTGGTACCCATTACCTAGAGGCTGGGAGAACACCGGTAACCACCTAGTTTCGAACAGTGGCCGCGGGCTGCAGCGAGTCGCAGCTGGATTTAAAAACGAGTCTCCTGTCGACTGCAGTAACGCGGCCAATGAATTAGATCCACGCATATACAAAGTTGCAGCATAATAAAGCTGGTAGCATCTGTGTAGTAGCAGCTTAACAAAGCGAATGGACTAACTTCTTTCCTCGCCACTTTTATAAATGAAAATAACCTGATAACAATTCTGAAAGATCAGCTCACCCTGGAGATCATTTAAAAACCTCCAGTTTTATGACTGCTCTGGACTGTGTCCTAGACTGTAATGCTAAGGTAAAGGTAACACACTTATCAACACATTCATCATCATGTACCATGCTGAATTATAAAATGGGCACTGAAATAGCAAACAAATTGATTGAGGGAGTGAGGATGTCCAAGAGTTACTGCACAGTAATCATTGATAAGAGAGGTCAGAGATGCTGAATTGGATTGCATGCAAGATTTTAAAGAAAACTTCATTTTGAAGAGTGGAATTAAATAATCCACAGGGAACACTTTAAACAGCATAATAGATTATTGAGATGACATAAGAACTGGATATTTAATTTAATTCTAAAAACTAAATTTCTGATTTGCAGGTACACATCCAAATCTAGTTCGTCAGGCACCGATGTTTATGCTTTCATCTTTGACTGGCCATCTAACTCAGTACTCTCCCTTGGGCTACCAAAATCATCAGCAGCTACCACCATTTCCTTGCTGGGTTATCATGAACTCTTTAGCTACAACACCAGGCAGCCTGCAGGAGTTGACATTGTGGTTCCAGCCATTCCATTTAACAAACTGCCAAATCAATGGCTATGGACCTTCAAAATCACAGCCGTTGAAAATTAGCAGGATTGCAGCAGCTGTTGAA